CATTGTAATAATTTCAGAGATGCCAGCGTGATCCGGGCACGAGATATGGGTATTATCCAATTTCTTTATCGTTTGCAAGCGAATATCGGGAAAACGATTTCTCGACACTGTCAAATGGTGGCTGAATGCTTTTGCTTTTCTCTAAACTCCACGAACTACTTAATTTAATCTTTAAGATATTTATTATAATATTATTAAAATAATTTCCTTTAAATCAAACACCTGTGGTTTTTAAAAAATTAATATCCCCACAAGACGTCAAAAATCAACCAACACGCACATAAGTGACTCATCTCCCTTGCGCATCTCTATAATAATGACCATTTTGGTCGCTTTGTTGGGCCATGGCCAGCGTGAAGCATAACTCACAATGCGCACAAATACATGGCCAGGATCGGACCAGAGCCCATTATTAATGAGCCCAGCAATCGAAAATGCGTGTACACCCTTTTTTCAGGAGCAGGATGTGCGAAGAGGATGACGAGAATGGCGATGGCGATGATGACGGCGACTTGGTAACAATATGCAGCACTCTAATGAGCAACCGCTTGAGCAGAAGGAAACCGCGTATCTGCGGGGCGACGGAGTCAGAGGCATTCCATCTCTTGTGGCAACGAGTAAAACTGGCATTGGAACGCTTGTAAAGTTGCCGAGTAATTAATTTGTTCAATGGCATGCTGAAGGTGTAAGCGAAACCATTTAAAGTTGACGACGCCAGACACTTGGGAATTCAAAAGCAACTACAAAGTGGCAAAGTCCTCGAGGGCCTTGCCTCTCAGTAGAGCACGGACAGAGGCAGGGGCAGAGGCACTATATAGTATGCCGGCGGGATCTGTAGAAAACTTGCGTGTATGCCCGACGGAGTGTGTATCCGGCTATGTAAGGCCCGAGGTGGGTTAAAAGAGTTATGCTTATGTGAAATTTGAATTGTAATTTTTAGAAATAATAGAATAACTTTAAACGAGAAAATAATAGAGGATACTTTTGCTTTCACAATATAAAAATAATACAAAATTGCAATGGGCATTCCAGGGCATCTCCAACTTTGACTTTGTAAAGATTTTCTCTAGAATATATCCCAGTTTTCAGACATAATTTCTTACTGTAATAGAACTAATAATATTTATCCATTTTGCAACATCATTAAAAGAAAATACTTTTCAAACCACCCTGGCAATATCTAGTGCTCATGCTACCGGGTCCCGTATGCGTGTGAAATCGGAAGTGGATGCCAACCCTCCCGCTCCCAACGCCTCACCATCGCAACTCCTAAGTGTCCCCAAGTCCTGAGTGGAACATCTTCGAGCCGTAGTCTCCGGGTTGGGTTCCTTCTTGGCTGGGCGACAGGTGCTTCCGCATTTGAATGTCAACGGAAACCGCAACGGTACAACTTAGATAAACGTTTGCTCTTTAAATATGTGCGCAGTGGCGCCGGAAAGGGAATGCCAGGCAGTCGGGGGTAGTCGGGGAGGGTATAGAAACTGTCCCCGTGTTTGAGCAACTGAACTTATGTGTAAGGCAAGCGCTACATGCGAAGTGGTTGCGGTCCTTAGAATGGGCGGGTGGGAGTGAGTGCGAGCTATGACAGGTGTATGCTTGGATAGATCTTGGCTTAGCTTATTGCTTACTCTCCAGATATACATACGTACTTTACGTGTTCCGTACACCGACTGTGCGTGAGTGGAGGAGTATGCCAAGGTGTTTGCCTTTGCAGGAGCACTGTGAAATTGATTATGGGGAAATTGAGATGGATAAGTAAAGACGGTGTCGAAGTCAGCAAGCGAAGGCTGACATAAGGAAGCTGTTGGGAACATCGATACAACCGCAAAATAGCAGGGTTATAGTGCATCTAAAATCCAGGATATATAAAGAAAGCTTACTCGCTTAATTCTAAAACAGAATATACAGGATCTTTGATCTGTTTGTAAATTATAAAAAAGCTTGTTGCTGTACTTCTATCTTTCCTTAGTAACCATAATGTTATATGATAATGATACCAACTTTAGCATCATCATTGTTCAGTTATAATTTAAAATATAGCAAAAATATAGCTTTAAAGAACACAAGAATGGTGTACATGATGAACATGCATCTGAGGCTTATTGGCGACTTATTACGAATATTAAATTTTGCATTTCTGACAAGTTGATCCATCACAGAAAGCATTACATGCCCGCAGCAATGTACACGAAATTATTCACAAAAATATTGTATCAGCCCGTTGATTGAATTATGCTCAGCGGCTAAATGGGATTCCTGCATCGAAAGCCCTGCCCTTTCAACCTTTTTGTTGTTGCTGCTGTGGCTTCTGACCATGCATCATTGACAGTTTTCAAAAAATCGAATTAAGTTGAAAATCAATTTTCATTCAATTTAGGCAAATGCCCAACAAATTAAATCACGCCCGAATAAATCGCCAAGCACCTGAGTGACTGGCCAAAAAAACCTCTCTATGCTAAACTGCTAAAAATAAAATCAATTAACAATAAATGCAAGCAATTAAATTCAATGCTGTGCGAGGGCGAGGCGAAGCGAGGTGAGGTGAGGCAAGGAAATGTTCGCCACAGATAAAAACAGGCCACTTAATTAAGCCGAAAGGGTGTGAGGGACTGGGAGAGTGGTGGCTTCTGGCCCCATTTCTACACTTTCTACACTGGCCGGCATGTTTAAGTGCGAAACAATGTAATTTCATGGTAATCAGTCGGGGACCTGGCCGGCATCTAATGCCAGTCCGGCAGCAGCAGCACAACTACAACTACACAAATTTCCGGCTGTGTGCACAAAGCCAGTGGGAACCGATGGAAAAGATGGAAAAGGGCCAAACCGAGGCTGAGCACTTGGGCCAGAAAAATGTCAGTTTGCAATTTTCTATGCCATTTAAAATAAATGAAAATTACTCTTCATTCCTTTTCTGGTGGGTTTTTTGCTTTTTTGGTATGGCATACTTTGGGCCAACGCGTGTTAACGTAAATAAATTACACACACGTGCACTTGGAAAAAGAAACTAAACTTAAGATATATTTTAACAAAATTATAAAAAAAACATATAATATGTTAATTAAGATCAAGGATATTTGTTGTTAAAAATCTATGTATTTGAGGAGACCTTAGTGGCCATGAGCCATTCGAATTTTTCTATAGGCACTGCAAGAAATTTTGGCAAAGATTACCAAAATTTGTTCACAGGGAATCTAAAATAGGCTCAATGCGAATATAAATGGAATACAAATATCTTGTTTTTTTATATTCCAAGAACCACAGATTTTAGGAGTTTAAATTACAGGAAAATTTTACAAACTAAGGTTTCATATTTTACAATGAATCCATTACGTATTTCTCTTTCCCTAATTTTAACACTTTACCTTCAACTTCAAATCCATAGAAATTGTATCTGGGGGCTAACCAGGCTCAAGTCTCCTCCTTCTTAACCCACTTTTTTCCGAGTGTGAAGAGACTGAGCACGGGACACAGATACGCAATCAAGTGGTCAGTGGCATGCAGCTTATAAATCAGCGCCAGCCGCTTGGGCGCAACATCAGCAAACATTTGGAGGATAGATGACCCCGGCATCGCGACCCGCATTGCGATGGACAGCTGAACGAATGACCGAGTGAGTGGATGGCCGAATGACTGAATGAATAGATTGAGCGGGCCAGCTCCGGATAGATTGCTTCTATAAATGTTCAGCTATTTAGTTTCGGTTTGCTGTGGTTTGACTTTGCTTGTTTTTCCCCAGTCCCGAGCATCACCCACAACCCCAACCCCATCACCGTTCCACTTTCCCCCCATGCTCCCTCCCACTCTCTCTCTGTTGGATTTTTTGTTGCCATTCGGGGCAAAGTTGATATTGCGCTTTTGTGTTTTAATGTTGTTTCTGGGACAATTGTCGGTCCGGCGAGAGAGCCGTGCGTCCGAGTTGGTTAGCTGAATCATTTTGTTTGACAAATTGCAGAGCAATTAAGAATTAACTACCATCTGGTTAGGCCAGGCCCGGGGACATAAGCCGCTTTAAGAGCGCTCCTGGTTCGGGGGAAGCCAGAGTGCTGATAAGCCAGATGAAAGCCCAATGTTTGGGAGTCGGCCATAGTCAAATGACACTACGAGTGGGTTTAATTTTAGTACCAACTGATTCTGGCATAAAAAAAGCATTAAATCGTGAAGAGAAATATATATGTACAAATAATAAAGAGTCAAATGGATTAAGTTACGACATAGTGTAGACTTAAATATGACAAGAAAAATATACATTTTTGTTATTAATTCAAAGAAGCATGTACTGCTAGGGGAGAACTCTATTTCTGAAATGCCTACAAGTGTTCCTAAAAAACAATTTAAATAACCGTAGCTTTCCCTCTGACGGGGGATTTCATTCCGTATATCCGGAAACTTAAACGCCTGCTGACTGGCTGCATAGTTAACATTGCCCCCTGACTTTGTGCCACTGACAGCAATTGACTGTCTAAGTATGTCCCACTGGCTGCAGCCTTGCCCCTTCACCTCAGCCTCTTTATCTTTCGCTTTGTATGGGACGCGAATGCCAAAGAAGAATGCCTGCCTGTGTGTTTTGTGTGGGTTTAGAGGGGAGTAGAGTAAGTACTTATATATATATATATGTATACTTACAGCCAAAAGTAAAACTGGACCGGCAACAATGCCACAAGATTGCTGTGTGGCCAACGAGGCGAGTTGCCAGGATCATCTGCATATAAGCAAACGTGTGTGTGTGTGTGTGTTTGGTTGCATGGCACAAAGGAGTCGCTGTCCCAAAGCAAACCGCACTCATGCGGTGTGGCTATAGCTTTAAGCTCTTCCTCAGCTACCCGCGCCTCTTCTTGAGAAATATTGCTATGCAAATATTTGTATTGCATACTTTCGGGCACGCGGCAGAACCAGTCGCGAGGGGGGATTCCCCGCCGGCGGGAAATTCACAGCTTACGGTAGCTAAAAAGTAAAAAAAAATATAAACAACAGACAACTGAGGAGATAAGCTTGCAGTGCCGGAACCCAGCCGCCGTCTGAATCCAGTTAGCATTGCCATGTCTCAGGCCACAAAGGTGCTAGTGTTTCTGCTCCTCATCGTAGGCATCTGGGCCTATAATGTGCCCCAGGCCTCCGTCAAGGTCAATTCGCCGCAGGGCTTCGAGGTCTCCATTCCTGACGAGCCTGGAATCTCCCTGTTTGCCTTTCACGGCAAGGTCAACGAGGAAATGGACGATCTTACCGATCAGACCTGGGCGGCAGATATTGTGAGTTCTCGGAACGGCCGCTGGACATATCGGAACCGGCAGCACCGACTGCAGCCCGGCGATGTGCTGTACTACTGGACAACGGCGCGTTACCATGGCATCGACTACCATAACTATAACCAGCGATATGTAGTCGGCGCCGGCGGGGATTCCCAGAGCATCGATGTTCACGGTTCCAAGGGCGGGCACCTGCCTATTGTGGCCACTGGTCACAACACGATCAATATACATGTACATTAACTTAAGTATAAATAAAGTTGCATCAACTCGAGATTATATAAAAATATATACATTAAATTAAATTTGTGAACCAATATTAAACCCAAACTATTGACAGCTTCTTTGACAAAAAAATTAGTTTCCCTTTTGCAACAAATTATTTCAATGCAACAGCCTTGCTTTATTTTTTGTGTTTATCCTTAGAGGCTATAAATCAAAGTGGCACTTTGTCACAGATATGCAGGTAAGCATCCGGATCGTATAAATCATGCTGAAAAGTTCCCACACCTTCGCTCATCAGGCTTGGGGCCACCCAAAAATCGCAGCCATATATTCCAGCGACGACGGCATCAACAAAAAAAAATGCACCATAGAATCTATGGAAAGGTATGAAACCATCGCCCTTCCATAAACAACTGCATAAAAGGTTACTCTTGGACCATTTAACTTTCCCTTGAGGCTAACAAAAAGCAGATAAAACTTTTTGCCATCTTAGTTTCAGTTCAATTTGCCCTTGGTACTCCTCCTCCCCCAGGTTGTTTAGAAGTTTTTCGTTCTGAGTGTGTTGAAAGGTTGTCCCAGGATATAACCAAAAGATGCAAGCGATTTAATCGACTTGAAATTGGCCTGATTAGAGTTTAGAATTATTTGCTTGGGATTGCCTTTAAAACGTAAAGATAATAAGTTTTGCATTACTGGAAAAGGATTTGTAAAATAAAGAGCTCGACTATGAGATACCCAATACTCAGTTCAGATTTTTATAGATATAAATGCTTTAATGCTTAGTATGTCGCTTAAATTAGAACTGGATGAATGTTAGTATTATATTTTAATGTTTTTATTAGTTCCTTGAAACAGATTCTACCCTTAATCCGCTCCTGGAGCCTACTGCTTTGTGTTACCCTGCCTTGCGCTTGACCTGGCTCGCTGGCCGCTTTCAGCCGGGAGAGTTGAGCCTGAACAGAAGCCGGAAAATTAGAAAATTATATAATGTACCAAGGACTTGGGGGAAAATGGCCAAATTGCTGATATAAAAAATCATAAATACATTATTATATGCCTCGTCAGCCCATTTGTCAGCACCCATTTGTAGCGTGTTAAGGCATGGCGGGGTGACTGCACTTTTTCGCACTCGGACATGCATATATTCACACACATACCTGCATATAAGTCCTGGCTATATCTGCGGACTAAGTGACGCTGTCAGCAACATTTGCGAGCTGTGTGCTTGCCGCTCTCATTTTCCCATTTGGCTCCGCGCAAACTGCCAGCTAGCGGCAAGATTGTGGCAGTTGCACTTGCACTTCCACATCCACGACACCACCTGCAGCCCACCACAGACTCATGCTTCATTTACCCCCCAAATATACATATACACACACAGGTTGGCCAACGTTTTTCACCTGGCAGGCGCTAAAATGACTTGTGACGACAGCTTAATGCGGCAAGTAGGGAAAAAATATATATTTAAGTCCACACAAACGCATCTCACACATATAAGCCTCAAGTGGAGAGCACTTAATGGTATACTTAAGCTTCTGATGTTTGTCGTAGCCATGATTTATTTTAATATAATTTAATGTGCTAACTGTAATTTAATTCTTAACTCTTGAAATCTCTGTAAAATGATAATATTCATATATTTATTATTTATAAATAATATCATTTAATGGGATCTCTAATATGACTTAAAGTTTACATATATCGTCTCTTGATGAAATGTTTCCGAGTCTTTTACTCGTCTTTAACTTATTTACTCTAAAGAACACCTTTAATTTCCGGTTTCAACTATCAAGCCATCGTTTCCTTGATAAACTTCAAAAGGACCTCCAGTATTTCCGCCAGAAATGAGTCCTCCTTTACGATTACCAGTTATAAAAGGACCTCCTGTATTACTGCCACTAATGAGACCACCAGTTTCAGCTATTCCACTACCAAAGGGACCTCCAGTAGTTCCGCCAGAAATAAGTCCTCCTTTTTGATTAGTAGTTATAAAAGGACCTCCTGTATTACTGCCACTGATGAGAACACTTCCACTTTGAAGAAAGGGTCCTCCTTTGCCGGATTCTACTATCAAGCTGTCTTTTCTGTGAAATCTTCCGAATGGACCGCCACTTATTCCTTCAGAAATTAATCCATCTTGCTGGTTACCAGAAGCAAATGGACCTCCGGTATTACTGCCACTGATCAGGCCACTTTTAGTTTGACTTCCTTTGCCGGTTTCAGCTATCAAGCCTTGATTTCCTTGGTATCTTCCAAATGGTCCTCCAATATTTCCACCGGTAATGAGTCTCCCTTGATGGTTACTAGTAATAAATGGACCTCCACTATTACTGCCACTGATCAGACCACCTTCAGCTTTCAAGCTATCTTTGCCGTGATTACTCGCGAATGGACCTCCACTAGTACCTGCTGAAATCAATCCTTTTTGCTGATTACCAGAGACAAATGGTCCTCCAGTATTACTGCCACTGATCAGACCACTTTCCCGTTGAAGATCTGCTCCTCCATCAGCGAGTTTAGCTTTTAAGTCGTCTTCTCCTTGATAACTGCCAAAGGGACCGCCACTAGCTCCTCCAGAGATCAATCCACCTTGATGATTTCCATGGGCAAATGGACCTCTTCTTCTGGTGCCACCTTGGGCAAAGGGTCCGCCACTGTGGGCACCATTTATCAAGCCTCCAGTGAGGGCTTCACCAAGTCCGTAGTCTCGGTAAACAAGTTGTGACGAACTTGAACCAAGTATGAGCAGCATCACAGCAAACAGCGAACTCATTGTAGACCCCGCCAATCGATGACTGATCTTGCTAAGTGATTCGCATTCAGTTTTTCACTAAGTTCAGTCAGCCGAAATAAAAGGAAAACAAACAAAAATAGGCAAAACGCAAAATAGCAAGCGAAATATAGCAAACAAAAATAGAAACAAATAGTAAATCAGATAAGCAATCAATCATAAAATGACGTCTAACCAAGATCGGAGAGTGTCTCAGCATATTCCCAAGCTTTGAAGAAGCTTTCGTGTTTGGGCATTAAGTTAGTGTTAATTGTATTCTCAGATTATAGAATCTTTTATTCAGTTCTATTTGTACCTACTTAAAGTAAAATTTACATATTTGCTTTTGGAACAAACAAAAGTTTAGTAGTTAAAACTCTAGTATTTTCTTTATTGTGTGAATTCCTAATATAATATACATATGTATAAGCTATTAAATTTCAAGTCTACATCAAAACCTAAGGCATCTCTTAGTGAAATACGCCAAGCATTTTCAACATTATTAACCTTTTTCACATGTCTAATCTCGTGTTGAGGCCTACCCTTCCCTTCCTCTACATATCCCATCCATCGACCCCCATAAATTGCAGTCAGAAAACTTAAAGACACCGAAAGCGCCCAAAAGAAAATGTTACTTTCGCCCATGAATATAAATACGTGTCCGGGGCTGAAACTATTTCAAGAAAATGCGGGCATCCTCTAATGGGTAAAATATGAAGCCGCCAGCGGAGGAGGCACGAAGCTCGCGGGCCATGAGACGCAAGTAAAAAAGAGCCGACAGAGTGGCAAATTAATTATAAAAGATTCCGCTGCCACCAAGTTAAATATTTTTGCGCAACTTCGGTTCAAACTGTGGGCAGACACGGGGCGTGGCCGTGGAAAATAAGTTGCCAGTAACTTGACGCACATTTGTCAGGGTTTTCCCCGTGAAAAAGGGGTTACTCGGGAGGTAAAGTGCGAGTCTACAGGTGTCTTTTCACCAGCGGAGAGAGTGGAATTTGCACAAGGCGGCGGTGTGTGTGGGCGGGTGAAAGGGCAGGTCCTGATATATGGCTCTTTGAAATTAGTCCAAGTGCAAAATGTCCTGAAAGAAATAAAAAATTGAGCAAAATGGAGAATAATTGCATAACTTTGTCAGACTGTTGTCGATGGGTATATACAACTTGGAATGAAAGATCGCAGACTTTTATATATATATATATTACTTTTATATTATATACATATATTATAATATATTCATATTTACTCAGGGTTTACCCCTTATAATTTCATAGCTTTAACTTCAACCCAATACATTATCTTGCACCACAAATAATTAATACCCCAAGTAATAAGGCCTTGCCTATAATGAAACCCAACTGAATATCCGATAAGGAGCTAACCATTATTGAAGCCCATCAAATTATATGCTAATTTATTAGCTATTGGCTCAAAGTGCTTGAATAAACTGTCCTAAAGCTGCCATACCTAAAGCCCTATATCACTAAACAACTACATTAGGCGGCATGTAAATATATTTGCATCTGCAAAATGTAATTTGCGGCCTAAACATTTGAAAACACTTCTGGGTTCGGACCCTTGGATCATAACATATGTGCGTAATAAGTATATATATTCAGGCATAGTATATACTCCTCGGCTGTGTACTCAATTAGCATTAATGAATCCTCATCCTCTTGCGGGTAATGCCTATAAAGCTCGCCTCAATAATTGAATTAATGTCGCTCCGCTGACGCTCACTTTGCCCCAAGTCGTTGTTTACTTATTAGGCTAATTGTGTTCATTAAGACCACCTGCCTTTGTGCAAGTACTTTAAGACTTGAGATTGTTGCCATCTTCGATTGATCAAATGCATTTTCCGTGTATTGAGCTCTACATATCCCGCTCCCTGCCCTGGTGACTGAACCTGGTTTCAACAATGGCCCACGTCGCAAGTCATCTGCAGCAGCCCGACATCGTCGCCTGCATTTCAAAATCACACACAAAACATTTGCCAAATGCGAAAATGCAGTCAAAGTCGTGCAATATGCAGTGCCACCCTAGGTAGCCGCCCCCTGGCTCACCACTAGAGCACCCCTGAAGGTTCTACACTGACAGAAAGCGGTTTGGTAATCGAGAATTTAGAGTTCCTTTAATTTGTTTTAAGGCTTCTATAAGATTGTTCAACGAACAAAAATATATATTTTTTATATATATTCCGTTATATATTCCGAGGGTTTTGCCTTATCAGAGGTGCCACAAAAGTGTTGTTTATCTGCAAGTATCCATTATTACGAAAAGTACTTAACAAAACATAGAGGTATATATTTATCTCCATATATCTCAGTGTACGAGATCACCCGACAAACAATCTTTTTTTGTGCTTGTTCACTCAGCCGTTGATATAGACATTGGTGGAGAGGGGAAAAGGGACTTAAACACAAAGAGAAAGACAGGGAAGAAATACCTCTACTGCTATTTTCTAGCTCTGCTCTGTGGCAATGATTGTTGCTGCTGTCGCTGCTAACTCTGTGCAATTGTTGTTATATTTAGCATCGCAGACGCAATTTATATAAAGTTTAATTGATTGGAAAATCAAATCGATTCGATTCGCACTGCAGCAGCAGCAGTGGCGGCACCAACAACACAGACACGCATTTGCCTTTGACCAGGCGTAGATTGTAGGGGAATTCCCCTGGCCCGAATCAGCAGCCCACATCCATGGTTTGGCTGGCAGCCGTATTTCAGACCCAAAGTCGTTTATCTTGCCGCTGTTTGGATACATTTCTGATCTCGGTTTGCAGTTGGGCCAATGTTGGACACACATAAGCACATTAAAGATTGAAGGATGGGAGCAATAAAAGACAAAGAAACCCATTGTGGTTGAATTAAGCTTCTTAACCTGGACTCGACAGCCGGAATTCAATTACATCCTTAACGCGCCAGAACAATGCGATAAATAATTCAACAAGTAAGTCAATTTAAAGTTACAATTTTCCTTTATGGCAGAGAGGGAAAACGGACTCGTTAATCGGAAAAACTTTACACGAGGCGGACAAGGGACTAACAAGCTAAATATAGGAAAGGAAATGCAAATCGATTGAAAATAAGGTAATAAAGAGATTACTGCGTCAAAAAACAATGAACAATTTATAAAGAAAAATATATTTAAATAAATAGTCGATTAATAAAGACAGATCGTGGAACAACTTTAGGATATAATCTTATAAAAATTGTGCTAAGCTCGCACCTATTATTTCTACAAATTAGTTAATACCTTTTGCTCTTGATCCCATCTTAAAAAAAAGAGCAAATTAATTAACACAAAATGAACCAAAGGTTTATTAGCGGTCGTTTTGAATTCATCAACCTCAGGAATCAAGGTAGTATAATTTTAAGGACTGCAATAATTTGCACTCCTTGCTAATTAACTCTTCTCCGACCATAATAGTGCTACTTCCAGCGATGTCATTTTATTTTCCACTTAACAATTGCTTTATTTTCAGCAGATAAGCTCCATTCTCTCCATCCCCAACTCCCGACTAATCCCGATCCACAGCCACTCAATGGGAGCAGCAACAACTAAGCACTTGTCATTAACAAACAGCGCAATACCTGTTTAATTTTTATTGTGAAACTTGGCTCTGCGAGAGAGCTTAACTTTTCTCGATGCACTGCCAGCCACGCCCACTGTCCATGGCTAATGTCACTGGCCGGTGGGAGGACGAGGGACGAGTGAGTGGGAGTGAGCAGTTCGACGATATGTTTAATGGCAGTTACAATGGAAAAACTTTTACGTATAGCAAAGCAATTCAATTGAAAATAATTAGAAACGTAGCCACATGGCGAAACTTCTTAATTGCCCGACTATTGTGCGTTTACACTATACAAAAAAATATATTTTTAAGACTATAATAACAGTACACTTAAATAAATATTATATTTGGGTTAATATATATTCCTGTGCAGGTAAGAACTGTCCGGCTAAAAGGTAATAAATCAGATTGAAGACCTGTAAGAACCATGTAACATAGCTTTCTCCGACTGTACGTGACACTGGAAGGGTGGTTAGGGGGATGGAGAAGGGCTTGAATGTGAATTGAAAGAGTGCAAAAGACAGCAAATTGCATTATGCATAAGCCGCTTGAGCTTGAGCCATTATCGAACCCCTCCACGTAGCCAAACATGGGGAGAGGGAGCGAGACTCTGGCCATCCGCGAGATACGAATCCACTGAGCGGCGAGGCGAGAGCAACTTGACGATAGGAACCGTATAAAATAAGTGCGTATATATAAAGCCGCCTCATTTGGAACTCCTCGCCTTGACCATGCACCTCAGTCAGCATATCGCGGTGCTGTTTTTCTGGCTCTGCTTCGCCCTCATCGGCGGCGGTGAGTGACGACTTCGTCCGTCTATTTTTATATGTATATTGTAGCTTCCAAGTTTTTAATGTTCAATTTATGTTTTTAATACCAAAGGGCACGGCCAGCCATGGCGTTGGGGCCCAGCCTCAAATAGCGGACCCATTGGCGGTCCCGCCTGGAATGGAGGCCATGACGAGTCCACCGATAACATAGTTCTCCATGCTAACGGCAACGGCAACCGCGGAAACAGCGGCGGCAATTGGCGTTACTAACTTCTAACCAGTGGAAGGCGTGACCAACGAGTTATATTTTCCAGCAACTCTATGAATAACACTGTAATTACTTTGTTTTCAATTAGTTTTCTAAGAACTGATTCAATACATACGATATAATACTCCCTCATTGTCATACCCTCACGAATATGCATATATCATACCGAAAAAATTATTTACTTGATGTAAAACCAATAAATACTCAACAAAAATATAATTATAAATTATTTTTAAAGATTATACATCATATCAATGCTATTCTAAAGCTCTCCCATCTTTTATTGGTTTTTTTTGTTGATAAGAAATTTGATCATAAAAATTTACTTCTAAAATTAGCGTCGCATATACGAGGCGATCAAGAGCATCAATCTAAAATGGAGAGTTTTTTCATTCTGTAAATCTCAAATAAACTATGGACTAGCAGTAAATAAAGTTTGGAATCTTCTATAGGCTTTAAGCAGACACTTTTCCTTTAACATTTCTTATAGGTTTGAGGGGCCAAAATAATGACTTTTGACGAAAGTAGTCTTATCATGAGCCTTTAATAGTATTATTAGCTTTAAAAGTATAAATATATATTGTTCTAAGTTCTTGGAGAAACGTGTGCTAATTTTTATAAGCGATACTATTTAAATTGGAGCTGGAAACAATTTCTATTAGCTGTCATAAAATCTTTTAAACTATGTCTTTTTTGATATTTAACAAGCATGTTCTTTTGGGTAAGATTCTGGTCCTCAATTCTGAATCGTACACCATAAAAACCCACAAAAATAATCATTCTTACTGTCATCAACCAGACAGAAGATGACCAAGGGAATCAACAAATAAAAGTCATCCGCATCGGCATGTGTGCTTTGTTTTTTGAAGTCCTCAAGCGGCTATTGTACCCGAAAGATGTCTTGATTTTGTTTACACTTCAAAGAACGAATTTCTTTTCGATAAAAGGCTTTTTTTCGCAGAATGATAACAACCACCAGGACAAGAGATCTTGACCTTTCCAGGTATATTTAATCCAGTATCTAGGCAGTATTTTCAACACGATTGGCATAGAGGTCACACCTTCATTGATAAGGCGAAATACCCGTTGTGTGGTGTTGAGCTGGGAATTTCTCAGACTCGCCATATTCGACGTCAAAACAAAGTCGGGCGGCACGTGCTATATTATATGAATTTTTTGCAGTACAGTGTGAAAACATTGCAGCCCGCCCATCGCCCATTTGTCCGGTTTATGGCTAACGTGCATAACACTGGTACTAACTCAAAAGCAATATCGCGTTGACACGCTTCGCTCTCTCGATTAGCCAAAATCAACAAAAATCGGGAGTCGCTTGGCGAATTGGTGACTCAATGCCTCGGTCCCTCAAGTCGCTCAACCGCAAGTAAACAAAACAAACTCGTCGCTGGCAATTCCCCGACGATTGCACCGCTGCTGACCTCCTCCCCTGTCTTATCGTCCGGTGTGGGAGAGGATTGGAGCTGAGCACCGAGCTTTTAGAATATATAGAACGACGTGATGATCCGATCTTGCCTGCACTCGTATAAATAGCTGACACTTGACTTGGCCCTCGTATAGTCAATGCGAAATGGGCTCGAGCACTGGAACTTGGATCTTACTGGGCCTGGTGGCCGGCATTGCGTCTCTAGCTAGCGGTAAATATATATATCTCGATCTATTTAGTAGATTTCTTAAGTTTTACTAAATGCATTTGAAAATGTGTGAAAAAATAACCATACAATTATAATTTTACAAAGATATCCAGTCAATAGCGAAGCCATATCTTAGTCAGGTGTTTCTTCTTAAATTTTCTTCTTAAATGAAACTTCTATCTACATGGAAATTTAAATTAAGAATAGTAGTTATTCCTTATTAAATTACCCAAAATAATTATGGTGTATTCCCCTTTTCAGCTGCAAATATTCAACGAAGCGACGGCCAGTCGATTTATCAAAACAATGGACACACTTTTCTAACCAGTGGAGCTGGACAAATCATCCGTGGACCCGATGGCAAAACCGTCCTGATAGGATCCGATGGCAGCCAGATTGTGGCAAACGATTCCGACGAAGATGACTCTCTGGATTTAGATGATGGAAGTCACAACCACAACAGCAACAACATAATCATCAATGGAGAGAGATCCACAATTATTCAGAATGATGGAAACAGCATTTTGTACGGTAGCGCAAATGAGGGAAGTCAAATGAGCCTCAATGGACGCACTGTGCGGGTCATAAATGGAGGTCTTGAGCTGAATGAAAATGGACAGGTCTACACCTTCCGACCCAAGGCACGGAGCGAGAACCAAAAGGAAACCGTGAATATCAACGGTAAGCCAGCTCAAGTGGATTACTCTAATGGTGATATAGTCATCGAGTTGGCCGATCACACGGTGGTCGCCAAAGTAGGAGATCGTACCTTCCTGGGCGATCGGAACTCCTTCGATAATCGCGACAAGATAGAGGCAGAGTCCCAGAAAGAAGCCCGCCGCATCCAGGAAGAGATTCACGCAAATATTAAGAAATCAATGGATGAACTCCACGCCCACCTCCAGAGCACTCTGGGCAACATGTTTCACTAATGGGAAAATGTAACCAAGTGTACGATAGTCGCGTCGCTCGAATAAAGCGAATTTTAAGCATTTATCTCTTTATCATACTTTTTTTTTTTGAGGGAAAATGTTACATTTTCCTAAGTAATCGCTGGATATTGATTGCCCTGAGAAGCTATTGTTGTCGCTGGACTAATTTCACTCCCAACTCGGCAATAATCTCTTGATTCGCACAACCTGCGGCCACAAATGTGTGTGCGCCAATTACAGGGAATTGCCGCACAGCTTAAATTATGTGATTGATTAGCGGGAAATTCGCCGGGCCGTCGTCTTAGGACGCTGTTAATTCTAACGCTTAGTTAGGCAACCGAGACTGTTTAGGCCGTGGGCGGTTGGGCATGCATTATCCGGATGTGGCGTCGTATCTGTGACCAGTTCTCAGTATTAAGCCAATTGACCCTGCATTACGGGGTGTCAGACCTGTTATGATATTTTCAAGATAATTCAATTTATTTTCAATTTAACGACCTTGATCTTTTCCCCATCAACCTACAAATTGAACTCGCCAAGATATATAGAAAGTATTTTTTAATAAATACATATACAAATACGTATACAAATTTAACTAGACACTTATAGTTAGGAAACTACGTACATGTGTATGTAATTTGAATACGGTTTTCCGTTAATCTATGTACTTATATAACTTAATACCTTTAAAAAAATAATGACATGCTTACCGAATAACCCCTTAAATGGTTTAAATGTGCGAGCTCACGATTCCGGTGTCCACTTGTTCCAGTTTCCATTCAGTGAAATTCTTACGTTATTAGTTTTCACTTAATACAAATTTTGACGATAAGCTAACTTATTTCTCACTTTGAACGATCAGAAATGATTATTTATGTTCAAAAATATTTAAAAAAAACTCCTAATTTTATATACAAACTGTACAAATGTGATTTATAAACCTTCTTGAGTATTTTGTCATACTTCTTCTATATCCATCGTCCCAATTTAATTGCTAATTGACCGTCACTACTTTGACCCTTGACCCAAATGAAATTTATCCCGTTTTCCAACACTTTTGCTCGTTAAAACCTAACCTAACCTAATAGTTCTGAAAAGTAATACAAAATTAAACAAAATTAATACAATAAGTGCGTTATAAACAGCTTCACCTTATAGGCTTGACAGTTCCCACAACACAGGTTAACTTGCAGATTTTCACACACTCTAATGGCAACCTGTGTCGATAACAAAAACTGTATCAATGAGAAAGCTAAAGAAATTAACTTTTCTCTGACCAAAGAAAAGGTGTCCGCCTGGCGTGCCAACTTCTACGGCACACCGCATAATCGCCTAGCCCAGAATGTGTGCACATCCCGCGATCCCATGCAGGTGGCCCTCAACTCCCCGGTGGTGCATAACTCCTTAGGAACAGGAGTAAAAACGTGGCACACGGTAACCGGGCCGGGAAAAGCAACCACCGGCGGTCCCGGATGGATTTGCACAGGTTTGGATATGCTACGTCTGGGAATGGACAAAAAGATTCCACTGCCCGTGGATTTTGAGCTTTCTGCGGGTCATTTGTTCTTCTACCACAAATTGGAGCGATGCAACTACTTCTTGAGGAAAGTCTGTGAGCTGCTGGAGACAGACGAGCCTCTGGACGGACGATTGTTTAATCACCTGATGAAAAACGCAGTCCCAGACGGTGGGAACTTTCATATGTTCATGAATCTGGTCAAGAAGTATGGTGTTATGCCTCGAGCATGTTACCTGCACAACCTCAGTTCGATGACCAAAGTCAACAAGATACTAAGGAGCAAGGTGTGTAAGCTACTTATCCTTTTTTTCATTTTATTATTGATTCCCCCATAGCTCCGTGAGTACGCCTGCCGGCTTCATACCCAGTTCTCCCTCGATGGAGACTGCAGAAGCCTTCCGGAAATCATTGACGGCATGCTGCCGAATCTCTACAACGTGCTGGTCATCTGCGTGGGGGAGCCGCCTTTGGAATTCACCTGGGAGTTCTATGACCAAAAGAAACGCTACCAGTGCCTAAAGGACCTAAATTCGATGAATTTCTATGAGGTTATGGTGGGACCCACCCTTAATCTTGACTCTTGCGTTTCCCTGGCTCATGATCCTCGAGCGACTTCCAGCTATAATTCCAACTACGAAGTGGTCCACAGCTCCAACATGATTGGGGCAAAGGACCACGTCTTCAACAACCAACCCATGGACGTGATAATGAAGATCATAGCGGACGCTCTGACCAGTGAAAGTACAGTGTGGCTGGGCTGTGATCTGCGCCACCGGTTCAGGGCCAAGCCATTAGCTTTGAGCCTGAAAACCTACATGTTTGATATGGTGTTTGACGTTGATGTGGGCAGCACGCTCACGAAGGCGGAGAGACTAATTTACAAGGAATCACGTCAAGATTCAGCTATACTTCTAACGGGTTTAGGATTGGATTCTTCTGAGCAGTCGGTGCAATTCAGCACCATTTCGGCATCGGTTCTCGGAAAGGTTCCGTCAGCGAAGAATAAGACCTTCACTATTGACGCAGACTGGTTGAGGGAATACGCCTTCGAGATTGTGGTTAACGAGAAATTTGTTCCACAGGATGTTCTGGATGCCACCAAACTTTCAGACGTAAAGCCGCTGCCTCCTTGGGATCCCATGGGCGCCTTGTATGCATAAATCGTCAACTTTAAGTAGCCAATGATCTAAGATTACTACCACTGCTTAAATTAAACTCTACAAATTATGGTTGACTTTTTGTATAATTCTCGACTTTGGCTTAAATGCAAGAACTAGTAATAAAACTCTTTGACAGATGTAAAGCTATTTCCATCAAGTACTTAAAGCAGCTCAAACTGAAGTGTCCTGTCTTGTATAAAATTATTTAAAAATCCCCCCAACGTTGCCGCCTTTCAGGCAGTTGTTGTCATCGTCACCGAGGCGCGACCTTCACTAAGTTTTTCGGGAATCGGTCCTACGTGCCCGGCATGCCTAATTAGGCATTAGAGAGTTGCCCGGGAGTCCGGGTGCTGGTTGGAGTAGCCGGCAAGACGGCAACTGTTTTCGTCTTAAGGGATTTGCGCTAAGGAATTTGACTTTGCGAATAATAAAAACAACATTTATCTTCGACTTTAAGGCCAGTCTTTATTTTATTAAATTTGTAACAATTACTTCTAGAAATCTGCTAGCTATAAGTGAGTCTTGTTTTATAAGGAACACCAACGACTTTTACGTCTGCATTTGTTCCCTGATTTGCTTGTTACTTAAAAATAATTAAAAGAACAGTTTTTAATTGATTTTTAAGTGAAATCATATTTATTTATACAAATTCTCTACAAACACGTCTTAAGTATCCACGCTACCAATACTTCCCAGATCTACCCTCGTTGTAGTACGGATAGGGCGCCCCATATCCGGAATATGCTCCAGGAAACTGCCGGGGATAGACCCCTGGACTTACAATAATGGGCTGCACCACCACGGGCTGGGGATGTAAGAGTTTGCCTAGAAGATGACGAGGCCGGCGAATGCTGTTAGAGCTCTGGTCTGCTGATGGCGATGAATCCGCGGATCCCTCATCTGCCGGACTGGCCAGTGCAAGAGCATGCTGGCCACCAGCTGGCACAACAGCATCTGCATCGTCGTTATCAGGAAATGCCACCACCATCGCAATGGTAAGAATGCTCATCAGAAGAATGGCCACGAATTTCATCTCAAGGCGACTGCTACGATATATTGTCAATTTCAAACTGATTTGTTTTCAATGCCGTCTCGTCTTTATATAGGCAACACAGGTAGACGAGTGTAACCTTTCTACCTGTCCTGCCGCGGGATTATGACCCTTCATTCCCTCAACAGCTGCAACTGGAAATAATTATCCAGCTACATTTCCCAGAACCATTAGGCGACTTAAGGTTTTCCGGCTTAAAAAGATTTGTGTGTTTATGATTTTTGGAATGCTTGAAACGAGTTTTATTAGCTTCGATGTGGTTCCCATTTACATTGCACAAACGCCCAACTTTATGCTATACATTCAAAATTTTTGTTCAGATGATGAACTGCGGAGGTGGGGGCATACCGCCCGGAGGTGGGGGCATACCATCCGGAGGCGGGGGCAGGCCGGGTGGAACCTGGCGACGTTGCTGTTAGGATAAGAGAACCATGTTTTAGATTTGTTATAAGTTGTTCTTATAAAGGAGTATGAACTATACTCACCCTGAACTGCTTAGGCGGTGGCGGCGGTTCATCGGCCTTCAGGCCTTCGTCCAGGGCATTACGGCGAGCCTGATGAAAGGAATTATCAGGAAATTTAGTATAGCAAAAAATAAAAAAAAAAGTCTATAACCTTTCTAATTAACTAAAAACATTATAAACTTCCTATGTTAAATTCTTAACCGATCTGGGAACCTCTGTTCAGCCTAGGTCCTTAATCCCAGCTGGAGCTGGATTCATTCTGGGAGAACGGCGTCTTGCCCAGAAGAAGGCACTTAACAAACCGTTGATTTAACAAAGCTAAATTGTGAAGGCGCCGCCAGTGCTTTGCCTCCTCTGGATCGAGCTGCTCCATTTGCTCTGGCGCCTTATGGTTTTTAGGACCAAGAAGTCTTTAGATTCATTGGCCTTCCGCTTTACCCTTTGCACTCACCCGCTTGAACAGCCCCACGAACTTCGGTTCCTGCAAGGAGAACAGAAACACAGGTTAAACCCACCGAGAAGTCACGACAAAACCACCGGATCTCACCTCCACGCCGTTTGTGGTGCCCCCGCCGCGTCCATCGACTCCGAAGAGGGTCAGAGCCACAACGTAAATAACCAAAACAAGGCAAAATAGCTTCATTTCCGAGCTGTCACGTTCCTACGGCTCACTAAAATGTTGAATGGTTGAAATGCCCGGAACAATTCGCTCCGCTGATGCTGTACGGTCCGGTGGCACTGCGACTTCTTTATATACCCCATAATTCCGCCCGTGGGGATTGCATTTAATTGGCTTGTTGGGGGTTTCGTTATCCGGAATCTTGTAAAGTTGCGGCCGATACATGGCCGGCGATAAGCAAAACATGTTAATTGGGATATGCAATCGTCATATTAAGAGATGCATCTTGCAGATACCACGGAAAACACAATGTTGCTGCAGCAAATAATATGAAATAATAGCATGATCGAGTGATTCTACTGAGATACAGAGGAAGTATAGGTTACCTTAAATTGGTTAATTTTAGTGCTGCTTGTAAATGAAACCCAATTAATGTGATATTTCATTAATAACTATTATTAATTGTTTTCATAGTTAATTAAGAATTCAAAACGCTATTGAAACTATGAGAAATTTACTCAAGATACTCTTTAGTTTAACCAAAAATCAATCATTAAAGAAAGAATGATCTGGAAAATTTGGTTAAAAAGTAACATGGAGTCTTTATGGTAAACAGAAATAATTATATTAACAAATTAAGAAATTGTAGGTAAGATAATAATGTTTCCTATTTTTTCCCAAGTGTAACAATTTGATTGCATGCAGCGAAGGTGTCGCAGCAAATTCGCTTTACAGGTGCAATCTCCGTGTTTCGTTGCCGTTACCTTTATTTTTACCGTTGCCGCTACACCGTTACGAAACAATCTGCTTCCTCTCCAGCCAACCCATCCGCCATCCTTCCCGCTTCCGTACCGACGGAAGACAAATGATTCTGCGTCTCGCGCTATTTTTCATTATTTCCGCTTGTAAACGCCACAATGCGTCCACGTTTGATAAGCTTTGCATAATTCCGAATTATAACGCCCTTTGATGTCGCCGCGAGTAAAGAGAGAGAGCGAAAGGATCTCTCCCTGTCTCCCTCTCTCTCTCTCTCTATTTGCCTCTCTCTCTTGCTCCTTCAAGTCAAATAGAAGTGCAGGCGACAACGGGAAACTGTACAAAAAGGAGAAGGTGGAGTGGGGCGGAAGGGATGAGGCGAAAAGAAAGTACAAAAATAAATAAGCGCACTTTTTTCTCATTTCCGTTGCTTACTTTGACGTGTTTAGTTTTTGATGTGCACACACTCGCACACCCAGGACGAAGGAGCGAGAGCAAGGCGAATGATTAAATTCGCCGCCAACATGGACAACGCTCTCCTACTCGCTCCTTCGGGATATCCTTGCTCTCCATCTGTATCTCAACTGGCTCCTTCTCTCTGTCTCTTTCTCTGTCGCCGGCGCTTCCTCTCTTTGTCTCTGTGGAAACTTTTCTCATTAGAAAACTTTTACTATTTCCGCTACTCAACGCCAAACGCAAACAACAAACGACAAAAATACGAAAAACATAAAAAAGTGCCATGCTCGAGAGACTGAAATGCGTAAATGTGTTGTAAATAAAATGTTTGATGCGCCCAAAGCTCCAAAAAAATGTATGTACTTCGGCAAGTGCAATTGAAAAATGCCACCGGAAGTGATCTCGAAATAGAGATTGTATATCGAATGGAAGGTATATCGACAGAGATCGTGCTCGATATCAAATCGAAAATATCGTAATGCATTTTTAGATATTTTGTATTCCCTGTCTTAGGTGGTATTCAGTCTCATTAATATTTTAGGTTATTATAGTTGTATAACTATTATAGTTTTCAGTCAAATTGATAATTAAATACATATTTTACAAAATTACAAAAATAGTTTAAGATTTAAATTTAATTGATAACTAATTTTCTTAGATTTCTGGACCACACTTTTCCAGGTCCATAATTTTATTAAATCCATATGTTGCAAAAGGTATTGATAAAATATATTTATAGGTATCCAAAACTTTTGAAATAAATAAAAAAATGAACCTTTTAACCTGTGTTCTTTAAGTGAAAAACTATTGAGCTTTGGAGAGCAGCGAGAATGGAGGCACCTAAAATTTCACTTTATTCAATTTGCAAGCCATGCTGAAAACGCTGCTTGAAAATCAATAAATCAGTTTTGCTCGGCAGCTTACCTCAGTTTCAATTCAATCAGATTTTGTTATTTGATTTTACCTTTGCCTCCCTGCCTCCGCCTGCGGGTCACCCTGGCTCCTCCGTCTGCTCTTCCTTCTTCCGGTTTCCTGTGCTTGCAGCGCATTTCCTTCAAGTACTTCGCATTTGCTCTAATTTGATTTTGAGCGGCAGGCAGGCAGCTTCTTGTGCGATTGCCACTGCCAGACTGTCAACTGTCATCGCGAATTTGAAATGTTCGCCCGTTTTGAGTTGCAAATATTGATTTCGAACCGAGTTCACCAGCTAAGCAGGAAGCGAGTGGTTGTTGCCGAAATTCACTAACTATTATTGCCAATTTAATATTACTGAATAAAGACAAAGATTTAAATGATCATGTAGAATAAACTTTGCTATTATTCTTAAGATTTTAGCTATGATATTTATATTTCAAGGTAAATTTTCGCTAATTAGGTTGCGAAAGAATAAACCAATAAATACATATCACTGAAACTTACTTTAATAAAAATACAAATTAGTATTTCATAAGAAACGTCATAGGGTAACCTCTAACCTTCAGCTTCTAAAAGGTTTACATATATAATTTTGTAGTTATTTTTACAAATACCATTATCAGTATTCAACATTGGACCATACGCTCTAACCTATGCCCTGAGCTTCATCAAGTATTATATATTAAACACCTTATTGGGTTTTCCCCTATGGTTTAAGGTAAATAATTATCAAGTATTTTGAATGACATTAATTAATTCCGTTGTAGTATATAACGTCATTTTAAGCAACAAACTGAGCTAGAATAGATTAAGATTGTATTAAGATTAAACTAAAAATTGATAACGCCATTGGCTTCATAAGAAAAATTCTACTATCTCTAATGCAATTGCAATAAATTCACATTGGCAGCCTATAAATACTCAATGCAGCGTAGAAATATTCACAGTCTGCATCATCTATTTGCGTGTTGAACTTATTAGTTTTTGAAAATGCGGCATATACTATTTCTTGTTTATTTCGTAGTTGCTTGGCAAAGTATTCTGGCAAATGTAGTGGTGAGTACATATTTTCTAATATTTAACTACACAGTTTTCTAATATTTCCCCTAAAATTAATAACAGCCCCATCCTGATGATGAGGAGGAGAAACTACTTTTCTATTCACTCGACTCTGAAACTGCTGAAAATAATTTAAGCTTGAAACTCAATAGTTTGGAGAAACAAGTTGAGGAATTGAGCAACCAACTAAAGCACCTTTCTTCTCAATATGACAATCTGATTGAGAGACTTTCCCTAGTAGAAAGTGAAAAAACTAAAGAAAGAAACCAAGTTCCAGATAAATTTAATGTTGAATTGGATCAAAATGATGATGATTTACCAGTAGAAGTGGAAAATGCAATGCACTTTAAGACAATTGGATTAAAGTTTTACTATATTGAAGAAAACGAAAAACTTGACTGGAGCCAAGCGAAAGATAAATGTATTCAGATGAACGGCCACCTTGTTGTACTTCAAAATGAGGAAATGTGGAATGCCTTAAGAGTGTACTTGGATCCCTTAGAAAGCTATTGGATAGAACCCTTTGAGTCGTATTACTCCGAGCCGCATAATCTTGCAACAACGTTGGATGATGAGTTCTGTATCGAACTGGGATCAGAACTGGGACTCATTAGCTGCTACGAAAAAAAATATTTTATATGCGAAGTTTAAGTAGCTTATTCTTTGTAATTTGAGAAACGTAATAAAAGTCTTTTATTATGATGTTTTATTAATTGACAATATTTTTGGTACTTTATATTTTGAATATCTGTTTTGTAAAGAATTTTCCTTCCTTTAAACACCTTTAACAATTTGGAAGAGAAGAGATACTGAGAATGACGCCCGATAAATTTCAATTCTAAGCTAAGTATGACGAGCCATAAAACCCTTCAAATAACTGGCAATTTTTAATGACTAAAATTCTATTGACCAATAAGTGCTTTCCAAATGCTAAGCATTAAGCAACCCAAATTACGATAAATAGTTTGTTAAAAGCTGCAAATAAAAAGGCCTCAATATTCATTGCAATTCACTATTACCATTAATGGGAATGAAAAATTCAATTACCACCCTCGGGCCATTAGTAGCCCATAGATTTGAAGCTGCCATTTAATGCGCCATAAGTAGCCAGTGAAATTAATGCCCGACTGCCCCAATTGACAAAGTGCCGGGGCCCAGGCCGAGCCATTGCGCTAATGCAAAACATAAACCAGGCAGTCCAGTAGCTGGCAGAAGGCAGCCCGGCAAACCCGGTGAAATGTGTTTTAGTTGTCGATGCATATTCGCCCAGATACCCGCGCCCAGATACCCAGATAGCTAGATACCCTCTCCCGGGGTAATAAGTTCAATAGCGCCATTTCAACTCCGGGAATGCTGCATCACGTCGCCGGCAAACGAGGGCATCACGAACCGGATAATGATCAACGAACTGTATACGTTTCCGCAATCGTAGTCAAATCGACAAACATGCACACAGAGCGCAGCGGCTGGCTCGACAGCTCCTCGGTACAGCTCCTCTAGCTCCTGCAGTTCCTCCTTCAGTTCCTACAGTTCCTACAGCTCCTAGAGCTCCTAGAGCTCCTCTGCTCTTGTATCGCCTGCTGCTCCCGCAGATCCCTACTGCTCCCACTGCTCCTTTCCGCTGTCACGGGGGACTACTCCGCATCGGAATGGCATCGAAGGCCAGGAGGAGCTTTAGAGATGTAGCCCAAGCAGCTTATGCCGCTTCGCTGGGCGACGCTAGTGCCAACAATCACACTGACTAAAAAATCGACCTCAAACTGGCTAATAAAATAGCTGATAAAGCAATAAATCTTTCTAGAAAAATATGTATACTCGGTCTAAACTAAAGTTTTAATCGAAATAATATAATATAGAGAATTTTATAGAACTTAAATTTAGAGAATTCCATAAACTCTCCTTAAAATATGATCATTGTTATCCTATATTTCTAATCAAGAAACCAAAAACTTTGTACTATCGATGAAGCATTAAACTCAAATCTAAATCGCTTAATTATTTTCAATTTTATTTTCTTTCAATCATGCAAATTGTAAATTTTTGTAACCCAAATATAGATTGATTTCTGTCAGTGATCTGGGTACCAAAAGGGGGTTTCCCTTCGCGACGGAATATTTTGCATTATTGATAAACTGCTTTCCCCCGTAGTCGTCATCGTTGTCGCTGTCGAACCAAGAAATAAAGCAGCGGCAAAGAATATTTATGACACCGCCATGCCCCAGCAAACACTGTAAAAAATACATGCATATGTACGAGCATTCGCATTGGAAGCCAGCGGAGCGGACAGACAGCTCAGCACGCCCCGAAGCTCGGAACGTGTCGGGCATTAAGCGTCGGAACGTGTGTAACAGGCTTCCTTAGAAGCACCTTGCCATGATAATGGATCTCCTAGTGACACATTCTCACAGCTTTCGATGGCAAAAGAATGACCCAAGCGGATGTTTTGGCGAAACAAGTCAAAGGGTTTTTGAAAACGTATGCAAAATGGTTCAGTATTGTGGTAATTTATATATATATTTTTTTTTTGTACAAATGGAGTTCGTAACTCTTAAGTATGGAGTGCATACAGAGCAGGATTATGGCATATAAAATATAAATAAGTGATTCTGATTAACATCAAAAGTCTAGGTTAATGTTCAAGCTAATTAAGGCTAAGAAAATATTCAAAAAAATCACTTCTGATAATTGCCTGAAAGTATGCAACGATTTGAAGATCAAGTATTAACGATACTTTAGGTCCCTTAAAGGTTTCAAAAAAAGGACATACTAAGGCCTATTGCGATCCTTGCAGCCCAGACGACATTCAGCGGGACATTTTTTGGCAATTTCTGGCATTCTGACGTGCAAATGGAATGCTGCAAAGACGGGGAAAAGTCGCCAATGAAGCGTTTAACGGCTGCTCCGCCATGTTCGAGAAGACTGAACCTCATAAGGATGCGGGCGCAGTGCAGGGGGCGACATGGTGATATGGGAAAAGCATTTGCCAGACCAATTTAGCGTGGCTCCAAACTCTCAACTCGGCGCACAGTGAGTGCAAAAAATGTGCGCTCGTTGCGTTGTAATTGCATTTGCCATAGCTTTGTTGTTGCTCACCAAAAAGGCACCGCAGTAGCGGTCGATGCAGGAGGAAGGAGTTGCCGAGAGGTTGAAGGAGCAGGAGCAGGAGCAAGAGCCTGGGCCAGAGCGAGAAAAAGTTAACGAACGGGCGGCACAAAGAGCGCCCATGGACGACACGCCATGTATGCACGCAGAGGGCGTGGTCGGTGGGCAGTGCGTCGTCTCTGTCTGGTAACGCACACATCACGTAGCGAAGTTGCCGCAACTAAAACTTCATCAATTTGCCTTGTGAATCCTTGGCAACTTTTTGCCCCGTCGCCTGCCGCCGTGTGTGAGTGCGGTGTGCGAGTGTGCCGAGGATGTGTGTGTGTGTCTGTGTGCGGCTGAATGTAAGTACGTACTTACAATCGCGGTCAAGATAATAATAATAATAATAGCTTGAAGGCTTTTACAATTTGTCTTAAGTGTCCGTTTCAACGATATACATAATACGATTTCATCAGGATCAGTTAATTATTTTTTCCTCCTTTAAAATCCTTTGGGTTTTATTTTCATGACCCCGTCTGTTTGAGCCACTACGTGCATGCTGGCCAGTGCATAAAGCAAATTATATCGGTTGGTTTGAGAGCGAGCTTTATTTTACGCAATTTTCAGACCATCGCATTGCAGGGCCCTGCGCTCCATTTGGCCATTAATGCCTTGCATTTTATTTATGATTAATTACAGCGTTTAAAAGTGCATAAATTTGCATTGGATAAAAGTGTTTTTACTAGCGAAAATAATTAAATACGTCACGGCCACAATGGAATCCGGCGAAGGATGGACGGTGACGGTAAAGTGCATGAAATATGAATTTGCATTAAAGCATTTCCATTTCTTTGATTTAAATATCAATTGACTCGATTACATTATGCTGCTGCCCATTAAAAATATGCAAAAAGTAACAGGAAGGATTTCCCTACTATGGGAGATCCTGAGAAAGAAGAAGGAACTCCAATAGGTCTTATTTCTCATCAACTTACTCATTAAGCAAGATGAACATTTCTTATGAAGAGACTTTTAGTCTTAAGAAGGGTGTGGAAAAGCTTTTACTCAGTTTTAAAAATTCTGATAAGGCAGCTATATATGCGATTATATACCAATAGGAGACATAACAATACAAGTATTCTCTGTAAACAAAGACAAAAGGCAAGCTTAAAGCTTAGCTATAAGATCTTTATTGTTTCTTTGCTCTAAAAGAAATAAATGTTTCATTTCCCAGAGAACTCAGTCTATTGATTGTCATAACTCTCCACCACATACACCCCATCATCCTGGCGATATCCCAGTCCATTATACACCACGTAGGTCCAGAAGTACAATGTATCTCCGAGCTGCAGCTTCGTCTCGCGGTCCCGGAAGGTCCATCGTCCCCGCTTAGCACTTGGTATATCCCTTGCCCATCGACCCGCCTCCAGGCCGTCAAACTCCTCGTTTAGCTTGCCGTGAAAGGCGAACAGCGAAATGCCCGCCTCATGCGGTATGGAAACCTCGAATCCCTTGGGATGAAACACGCGCACCTGGGCCTCAGGTGCTTCGTAGGCGCCACCAAACCAAATCGCACTTGCCAGAAGCAGCAGGCACAGCGGAAGTCGAGCCATCACGGAGCGGAATGGAACGTGTTTCCCGTTTGATTCCTCGGACAGAACTGAATCTATGGAGCGGAGATGGTTTTGTCACATGGCTTATCAAAGCGAAGAGCGAATAGATTAAAAAAAAAGGTCAAAATACTCACATTTTTGTAAGAAAAAAAAAAACAATCCTATCGAGCTTATATTCATTTTGGCTTATCAGTGTTTTTTTCTTTTTAATTCGGACTATAAATTTTCATGTTTACGAACAATAAATATTTAAACATTTAAATATTTCTCAATTTCTTAAACTTTTCTTTCTGCAGCAAGTTTCATCTCTCTGAAGCAATTGAAAATTCCGAAAACAAATTCACACAGATCCCACTCATCGTGATATTTAGAGCGACATGAGGCCAAGTCACTAGCCACCCACATCCTGTCCAAAACTCCCGATTCCACATATTTATCGATCTGCACCTGTCCCATTTTATTTACCAGACCCAAGTCTATTAGCACGCAGGTCATAGTACACTTGTAGCGGTGCTCAATGAGGGATATATCTTGGTTATCAGGCCAGTTTTCCAGGGCAATGATTGCTTCGGCTGCAGATAGTTCTTTTTGGGATATGCAGGGGTTAAAAACCACAGAAGCTCCCTATGAATATAGTAAAGATATCCTACACTGAACTAAGATAATAATAATATCATTTTACCTGAACTGACGAGCACAGAAAAATAAGGAAGAGGTAAAAACTTTGTCCGTCCATCATAGTTTCTATATTGAAGCTGGAACCAACAGTACTTGCATGCTTATATCAAAGCCAATTATAAGTAATTAAGTATATTTTAATAAGGTATTATAGTATACCAACCCATTGAAATGATGCTACATAAAAGAATCTTATTTATAGATTGCACAACAATTTAATTATAAAATAATCTATATTATTTTGTGGCTAATTTCTCTAGTCTAAGGCAGTGATCAGACACATCTCTATACTGGTAAATACAGCGGTCGAGAGTCGGTGCAAAAGCATACTCATCTATAATCCCAAGATCCAATATATACATCAAGGCGCATATTTCCGAAACAATCTATAATACCAAAGTACCAGAGAATGCCGGACACATAGCACTTGTGGGTTCTATTAACCCTATCCACTTGCAGATTTCTGGGCCAGTTCTCCATCACTGCATTGGCTTCTTCGACTTTTATTCCATTTCTATCTCCACAGGGATCAAAAAAGCTAAAAGCAGGCTATCGTTGAATGTGAATATTAAATATTTAATTGCCAAATTGAGAGTTAAACTTACTTTAGTTACTCCAAGCAGGAAGATTAGCTAGAAAAGTTTTGGGACCAATTTTACAGACATTTTTACTGGCAGTAAACTAGAGAGTTCTTCTGCCATGTAGTATTACTTATACTGAATTGTCGTGACAAATAAATAAAAACAATTTAATTACTGCTTAAAAAGCTGTGACATTTTAATTGAGAAGTGATTTGATGTTGAATAAAGCAAAATCAAAGCTTGAATGCTTTGATCAGTTTTAATTAGAATTAGATTTTGCTCTCAATGGATATCAGAAACTTCCGTTTTATTAACATTTAAAAAACAGAATTCCAAAATATTCATAGCCAGTCCTATTCTGGATGGTACTGCCCATTGTCCACCTCCCCATGCTCGGACTGAGCGGCCAGGGCCAGACGCTGTGCCTCCTGCTGGCGGCCTATAGCCGCATGCTCCGCTGCGATCCGCTCGAAGGCGCTCAGATGCTTCTGGGTGGCATGTGCAACAGCGGCGCTGGCATGCGGAGCGGCAGCCAGTGACTGTGTGGGGGTGTACCAGAAAACAATGCATCATTACAAACTATTTGGGCCACACCTGCTGTCAGGTGAATACTCACCGCTTGGCCGGGCGTCTGACTCGCATGCTCTTGCGCAATGCGGTTGTAAGCCTCGAAGTGCCTCCGCTTGGCTGCTTGAACGGCTGCGCTGTCCTCCAGTTTGTGGCTCAGCTGCGGATGGAAACCATGCTCATCGGCCACATACTGAACGGTGCGCACTTGGTTCTTGGGATCCACATAGGAGAAGGCCCCACGGATGACGCCGGAGCCATCGGATACCTCGGTATGCTGACGATCCACATGGCCTGGAGCTCGACCAGCCTGGTAACTGAACACATAGGGGCTGGCGGGAACCTTGGGTTCCGGGGTGACCAGATGGGACACATCCGCCCTGGTGACGCCGAGCAAGCAAACGACCTTGAAACGCAAGCAGGAAGAGTCAAAGTTGAGAAACACCGTTGCTGCTAGTGCTCTGAGGCAATAGCTCACTTACACAAACTATAAACTGCTTCATTGCGGGATGATGTTGCCCCTATCGAGTCGAACTGCGATTGGTAACTGGCGGAGACTTGGCCAACCGCTCGCTATTCGCAGTTCGTGAGAGCCAAAAACTGGTCTTTGGCTCGCCGAGATGCGCATTTTATATGCGACTACCTTCGGCTGTGCCAGCCACGATCCCAAAACTTGTTTTTTACATTTTGCATTCATAAACAAGGTAATTTGGCATTAAAATTGAATTAACAAATTGTTTTTCGATAAGTAACATTTAATGTTAGGGATTAGTCACTTGAACTTGGCAATTTGCAAGTTATTAGCACTAGGAAAAGTTCATTTACAGCGGAGAAAAGTCTTAAGTCCTAGGATAACTATTTTATAGGAACTATACAACATGGGTAATAACTTAGGCATATAGCGTGGGGTCCGGTCTATTCTGTCTAAAATTTAACTGGGAAAGCTAAGCTAATCCAGCTCTTTCAATGTCTGAGCCACCCAGTCGCCGTACTCCGAGACTTTGGTGTAAACTCCTGGATAGAAGGCATTGGCGCAACCAAAACCCCAGGATACTATGCCGTAGAGCTTCATGCGTCCCTCGATGGAGGTGACCACTGGTCCGCCGGAATCTCCCTGGCAACTGTCTCTGCCTCCGAACTGAGTGCCCGCACAGAACATGGTGCTGGTCACTGTGCCAGCTCCAAAATAGTTTCGGGCGCACTGCTCCTGATCCCTCTGCTGGACAACCGTGTAGCGGAGACGCTTCTCCGGCTGCATTTGTGAGATTGACAAACTGCCCCAGCCGCTGACAAAGAGCTGAGCCTTTGGCTGTATACTGTCCTCCTTGGTGACCAGGGATATGGGTTGGATTTCGCGACTGTAGACCAGAGGATGCTTCAGCTGTACCAGAGCTATGTCGTTGTTCATTCGCGTGGGATCATGGAACTTTGGATGCGGAATGATGCGACGAACTCGGATATAGCTTCCACCTTGAGCCCACTCACTTGTTCCAGCACGGATTACATAGTACTGCGGCTTGCTGTACTCTAGGACACAGTGCGCAGCAGTCAGAATGATGGTCGGGGATAAAATGGTTCCGCCGCAGGCGTGGCGAGTGCCCAACTGCAGTGATACTTGGTGCGGAAAGAAGGTAATGTGCGTCTCCCAGCCTCCGACAATGCGGCCATCCTTGTCGCCATCCGTAATATTCTGGGATGCCGTCGTCCAGACCAGCCACAGGGTGATTCCCAGTCTCAATTCCAAGCTGAGCATGTTGAAGTCCGTAGCTAACTGCGGTGGAGACCACTGCGGGCCAGCTCTTTTATGCAGAACTTCACGGCACAAGTTATCTTATCGGCAGTTACAACTCTTGTGGTGATCTTGACCTTGTCGAGGGCTATCGTGTGGGATTTATGGATATATATGGAGGGGGCGGGCGCTGGGCAAACTAAACTGGAGGACGAGGTCGAGGGTGCTGCTAGTTTCTCGGCTTTTGCTCTTCCAATCATCTTTCCATGGCCGTGACCTGCTCCTTGAGGTAATCCAGGTGGTTGACGCTGTCCTGCATCACGTCGTACTGGTAGCCCACGTGCTGGAGAATCAGGGTCATCTTCTGCAGATTCTGGTGACTGTAATCGGAGACCACGTCCACCTGGGTGAAGTTCTTCAGGGTTTGATGCATAATCTGTGGAATAACTAATCTCTAGGGGTGTTCTGAGTTTGGAAGTTGAAAAATTAGCTCACCTCGTTGGTCTTGGAACCCCTAACCACCTGCCTGGCCACTGAGCCTAAAAAACAAAACATATAAAATTAGTTTAATGATAAGAAAATAATCGATAAAAGCTCACCTAAATTATTAACATTTACACCCACACGGGCGCACAGTCGCTTCTTCGACTCATCAAACAAATGTCGGGCACTTGAACTGGAAGCGGAGGCCATTTTATTTATGGATAAATTCTACGTAAACGTTAATAAACTTTAATAAACTTTGAAAAAGTAAACAAAGTCAAGGACAGTGATGGCAGTTAAGCTTGTTTCAGGCTAGATTTTGCTTATTTGAAAATGGAAAAGCTTATAAAGCTTATCACTAAAAAAGCTTATTTTATTAAGGGTATTCTAGCAATAATTGTATTCATGACAATTTATTTTAAAAGAAATAAATAAACTTGTATTTTAGGTGTTATTTTTTATAAATGTATAAAATATAAAAAACATATAGCATAAAAATAAAATCTGTATTTATGGACTTAACATTACATTTAACATTTACATCTACTATTTTAAAAGCTTTTAACTAAAAAATCAATTAATTCTCCTTATTATGATTTTGTCTTTAACAAAAATTATATAATTTATCTATTATTTCTAAATAAACAACTATTTACATTTTGTATATAAATGGCACAATAAATAATAATATTAATAATAAAAAATAATTGCAATTTCTGTTAATTTTTAAAAGCATTCCTTTAATTTTTTTTTAATTCTTGCTTCTTGGTAGCTTTTACTCCCATTAACTTTGAGATCTACATATATCTATCTATTTATTAGAAATATATAAAGAATCTTTTTTGTAGATGGATAGCCTAAACTGTTTGCTTATATTTTCATTTTCAATTTTTTTTTATATTTTACTAAGAATTAAATGTTTAAACAAGATATAAAAAGTTATAATAGTTATGGTTATAATAATTAAAAGTTATAATAATTACTATATTCAAAGGAATATTTAAGAGTAAGAGGGAATCCAAATTTTCCAACCATTTCCAAGATGATCGATGGGCTAATTTCCAACCTGGAGTCCCGTCGGCAGGATGCTCTAGTCGCGCCACTCTGACGACAGAATGGAATTCCCTGAACCTGCCCCCTGGCACTGATCCTGATCTACATCTATCTCCGTGCCAGGCACCCACACAGACATGCCCCAAAAACCGGCTAGCATTCCAGGCTGGCTGGCGCCAAAAGGCGTCGCTAATTGTCCCTAAACGACGGCATTAGGCGCCAACTTTTAAAACAGGAAGTGAAGAAAATTCGACGCTGGAAGAGAAATAGAGCGATGTAGCTTCGACTGCGACTGCGACACTTGGCCACTTAGTTGCCACATCATAGCTAATAATAAAAGCTAATTAAGCGATTCTGTGACAACACCTGTAGTTGGTTTCGGCCCCTCTTTCTCTCCTCTAATGACAATAATTCGCCGCTAAATGTCACCAATAAGCATCTGCAGCAGCTTCGAGAGATGCCACTGGCACTGGGCCGCTTCTAATTAATTTATGATTTTCCTCACCGCATTAATCTCCCTCGGATGGCGTCTCCAGAAAATGTCGCGAGCCCCAAACAAGAGAACAAGACAAAATGTCATGCAGATGTGGCCGCAGGGAATCTACTTCCACAGTTTTGTGGTTTGTATGGGATTAGGGGGGCTCATGTTCGGGTTAGACATTTGTCATAATTACCCACAAAAAAACACACCTCAAATATGGGGGATTACAGGGCTTAGAAAATTGATCCGCAGGACAGCAAGACTTTTAATCAGATCAGAGATCTGCAAGGATCTGCGTTGGGAATAATTTCTTGGAAATTAATTACAACATATGCTCATCACTTAGCCCCATAAATCTGCCCCGGCACAATTATCAGTTTCAATTTGTGCGTGAAACTGTTTGATATCGCAGACGACGACGACGACTATGCCGATGTCAATTAGTAGAAGCCACTAGAGAAGATGCTGCTGCTGCTACCCCTTTCCATGGGTTGGGGCAATTTGCCGCCACTCGAGGGGAGATGCCATCGCATTTGGCTCATTAAAATGCCGCCGCAATTGTTGGAGAGATCGAGGAGGAGAATCAGTGCCATCGATGCGTTGAGGTGCCAACACAGCGCCCTCCGCACCCGAGACACGTACACAGCCACGGCTCCATCTCCAGATCTGTCACTCCGCCTGACGCAGCCCTGAGTAATTACACCAAATTAATTGCCCGTAGTTGTCAGGCTCGCATTGTCTGCTAATTTTTCCAATTGTTCTGCTTTTCTTTATATTTTAAATGCCGCCATCAGCAGGCCATGAATCCACCATTGATTCTTTATTTGATCCGTAGGAAAAAGAGATATAAGAACCCATTCGTATAATAAAAAACGCACGGAAATGAAATATCCCCAGATTGTGTCGTAAAAAGCGTATTCCAAGCACTTCTATATGATTTAAACTGCATGTTTTGTAAAAATCTAATTTGATAATTGGTTGTAATTTATGAGTCTTGTCTGCTCGCCTGAAACATAAACACGGAACGGGACGGGAATGACGCCTTTTACTCCGCGTGCTGCTCCTCCCCAAACATGTTTCTCGGAAAAGAGATCCGAGAAGCGGCAACTCCGAATTCGAAACGAGCGCACATTAAATTAATAATATGCAGTTCATTCTCTCTTATTTTTTCTTAATTATTATTTATATCTGTCAGTTTATAAGGCGTAGGCTGGTCTGATTTTGGATGGTTGCCTCCTCTCCTGAGGAAGTTTTCATGAATGAAATTAACAGTAGACTTTGGCAAGAGGGGAATCATGATTCATGGATATTACTCAAGGAAACAGAATGACGGAAGGACAATTCAATGTGTTAAACATTTTTTTGTTTCATTTTTAGTTGCGGAAGGAATAAGCTAACCATAACCATACAAAATCAATTAATCAGTAGGAGAAAGGTAATGGAAAATAAGGTTGTTTTTGAATCAAGTTAAAAAGATACAACCTGTAGAGTTCCTAGAAGATAAAATAACCTAACACCTTCTTGGTCTATTAGAAACACTTTACCCCGAATCCAATTTCCACAGCTTTTCTTGTTGCTCTATTAGTTTTTCACACAAATTAGCCTCAGGACACACAAACAGACAGCCCAGAGAATTAATCAGGATACCATTACCCAAAGAGTTCAATGCACGCCCAGCCAAGGAATCCCTTGGAATAGGAATCCTCCACCTTTGACGTAATCGGAAACCTCAAGAATATGCAAGAGGCAATGGCGTGGGAGTGTCCCAGGCAACGATATACAGATGTTTGGCCCAAGCAGGCCAATGATCGATGTGCCAGTGATACCCAAGTTAGATGTAGCTGACACCCCGCAGGACTTGATGCATCATTAGCTGGATGCGATGACAAAAAGAGGGGATACGAAAAAAAAAGTAAAACTAAATACAAAAAGCGAAGACTCTCCAGCCGGAGGACGGACTGTTCCACGCGACTGCCAGTGCAACTCCGCCCGGGACTCGGCGGGTCTCCGGCTGTGATTTATGCTGCGTGCGCCTGACAAACACTTGAGAAGTGATGATTTATAATGGAGATGCATGCTTGGTTATTAATTAAATTCTGACACGGCTGCGCTCCATTTAGCGTTAAATGCGATCATCAAACGGGAGGATCTGGTTAGGTTAAGGGTTGGCATCTTATGCAATAACCGGCCAAAGGGTCAAAAGGGTGGGAGAATTGGGTTGAGATTCCAAGTAAAGTCCAGGAATTTGGCGAATTTCATTTATTTGTAATTAAAAGGTGGGGAAATCCATTTATTAATATCGTTTATTTGATTTTAAACCAATAAGAAGATGTTAAAATATAGATAACAGGGACTCAGAGTTCCTATCAAGTAACTCTGCTTTTAAGACACGTTTACTTCAGATATCAACCTTAAGCTTTATTTCGATTGATATCACAAAATAAAATCCGATTAGAATGATGATCCTATAGTTTAACCCCAGAAAAAAAAGGGGCCATCAAACCGGAAAACAAAGTCTGCACTTCGTCTGGCAGCGGAATTTGAAATATGGCAAGCAATAGTCGAATATTCATTAAGCGCAATTATGAAAATTAAGTTGTCATTTTGATTTGAGTGCTCGCGACACTCGGGCATGCGGTCCCATAAGCAGATCCGAGAATCCCCTCGTCCCGCCACTATTCTCATTAAGTTCAATCAAACTGACAGCTCGGCCGGCTAAATGGATGCCAGGCGATTCGTCCTCGCCGCCCTTTCGCTCTCGGATCTTGGCGACTAATTAACGTGTTTTCACATATTTTGTTCGAATCGCGACTGAATAATTAAGACGTTATCACACACGGGCATCCAGTCAAGGCACAGCACGGCACGGCACCCTGTAGCACAGTAAATGACGTGGAGTTGGCTGCTGGCCAATTGGAATGGAAACTAGTGTCGCCCATGCGGCAGGCTAATTTCTCAAGACCTCCCCTCCACTTGGGCCTTGCCTTTGCCTTTTCCTTGGTACTGTTTTTCTGTGGGGATCGCATTAAACTAAATTATGTGTTCATAATTTCGAATTAATGAACGTTTCCTATGGAGCTTGTGGTTGGTGTGGCAGAGGTATTGATTACCCTAGTGTTAGTTTTATTCATTTTGATCAGAAAAAGTAGATTTTAAAAAGATTTAAGGATTTGAGGGGGAGTTATCGAACATAAATTAGGAACCAGGACCTAAGAAAGTATTCTTCTTACACTTTTAAATTGAATTTGTTTATAATATTGTTTTTAAAATGATAATTATACATATAATTTAATAACAATTCTGAAAATTACCTAAAACCTTTTGTTTTTACTAGAAAATAATTCTAATAACTATAGATTAATAAATTCCAAATTTATCAAATAAAATATGCCTTAAGTCCCTTTCTAAACATATTTAGTGTATTGTATTAAGTAAAAAATATAAATAATTTCTTAAAAATTGTTATTATTAAGAGATAAATTCCCCCAAAAACTGGACACGTGCCCGCACACCAATGCAGTGAAACCAAATCCAGTTGCCTCATATTGGACGGCTGCTCGTTAATCAAGCGAATGAAATATGTTGGCAAACGTATTAAATATATTTAGCCAGCCATCGAAATATTAAATAGCGCTACTTGTAGACAATTAGCCAAAAATTATGACTTTTAATCACGGCGAGGCGACAAGAAACGAGACCGAACACACATCCATATAATAGACGGAGATGTGAGCGCAGGCCACGCCCTCGTCCCCACAATTTCACACATGTTTTAAAAATAAATCCACATCTGTTTGTCTTCCGAGGGAATCGGAATCTGTTCCTGCTTCTTTCTGTCTCACAGCGGTACCAGTGGGAGTGAGCAGGAGGCAACTAGATGGATTTAGGCCACGCCCCGCCTCGGCAATCATCTTGAAAGAAATCGGCCAGTGAGCAGGATGCTCTGAATATTCAAATTAGTTTTCCGTAAGATCTCGACGCGCGCTGTTCTCTGTTCTGTGCGAACTCCCAATAACTTTAAGGATACTGATCCCGTTATTCAAAAACATTTATCGTAATCGCAGAACCAATTAAAATCGAAGGAAATATGAATTCGCAATCGGCGGTGCGTCGGTATCCACACAGTTTCTCCATCGAACAGATCCTGGCCAAGCCGGAAGTGCGTGCGTCCAGTACCTTTTCGGATCCGGTGCAGGATGAGAGTTTGCGTGGCGGTATTTGTGATGTTTCGCGGGTATCGAGTCCTGCTACATCGAGCTGCTTGGAGGACACCCTGGACGACGGCAAAAGTGATAACGATCTGGCCTCTGACGACGGCAACGGTGCGTATGATTGATATGCGATTGCAAAGCATGGCCAAGATCGGGTAGTGGGGCTATAATATGAAAAGCGGAAATGTTTTTATTGGAAAATATAGTGAGCAAATAATTTAGATTGCTTTTTATCAAAACCTTTTGGGAAGAAGTGGGTTTGTTTTGTAGAAAAAATAATAATGATTTTTAAAAGATATATATTATGGTTATTTTTTATACTTTCGAAGTCAATCCTTAAACTAAGACTTTATTAGCTTAAGATAAACAAAATTTAAATTGGATTCTCTAATGAAAATCTGCCCAAATATACAGTTTTTAATTTTTGAAACCGCAATACACATTTTGAATTGCATAAAAATCAGACGAGTTACTTCCTATAATAGAAGTTTTCTTCTATTTTAGCCATTAGAAATTAATTCTAATTTTACTATATATACACCAAATTTTATTTTCAAATTACACATAGAATCAAAAACCAAAATTCGGACTTATTTTAAACACGATTTCTTAATTAGTAGTACAAATATTTCTACTAAAAAAAGGACATGTATGACTTAATCTGCTTGATTTATAGACCACTATCTGTTTTCTGTGGTATTAAGATATTAAACATTAAATGATAATATCCATACCTGTATCTCTGAAAATTTATTAGCCATTAAATGTATTTTAAAGAATTATAGCACTAAAAGTATGCATAAAAAAGCAATCCATTAATTCTATTTAACATAATATTTACATATATTTGCAAAAAAAAACAGGCTTACTAGATTAATTAGTTAAATCCTGAAGTTAAGTTCAAAGTTTATTATTAATGCTCTTTAATCTAAATCAATATTTGGGTTAACAAGTCAGCATATTGATTTTACATTTTTAAAATATTAAAATTTTTTATTAATTTCTGTCAATTTTAATGATGAAACCCCTTATAAAATGTTGAAAAAATGTAGAAGAGAAATTTTTCTATCAGACACGGGTAGATCAACTTGGCTGTTGATGCAGATCAAGAATATATATACTCTATGTGGTCGGAAATGACTCCTTTACCGCGTTGCAAGCTTCTGACTAAAATTATGGGGTTTTAAGTAAAGCCCGATATTTTCTTAGTAAAACATAAGGCTGTCGGGGTTTTTTATATTAAAATAAATAATTTTCATCTTTTATTTAATATACGTTTTGTTGGAAAGCATTTTCCATAAGAAACTTAGACTTAAGTATTCACAATATATACTCCCACCTGACCAAATAATGCTTTTGGCTGAGTGATCTCATCTGTCATCTGTGCGATCAAGAAACAAATGGTCAAAAATTAGCTTTGCAAGTGACAAAGAAGGAGGCGTGCCACCGTAATTTTTCGCACCCTCACAGCAGCCCCCACCGCCAACCGTTAATGATGCAAATGTCAAAAGCAAACAAAGAACGAAGGCGATCACAGAAAGAGTGCGCCTTCCACCCGTAAAGAAGGAATTTATATGACAATTTGTTCTCGGTCAACCAGGAGAATGTATTGTATGTATGACCAAATGGCCAATTAGACGCCTTGGCTAAGTGAAATACAACTTTCTGATTGAAACGTAAGCGTCTTCGGGCGAAGCAGACTGGGGGTAAGGGTAACCTTGCCAACGGATCGACAAATTACAATTAGGCGAAAATAGTTGGCACTGATTCCGAGAATGGCCGCTGTCGGTAGCAATAAATGTCTAATTAAGATTCTGGCGATCTTCATTTGAATTTTTCTTCACAATTTTAAATCCCTTGCAGCCCTTGGCGATGATCGCAAGAAGCGTCCAAGAACCGCTTTCTCGGCAGCCCAGATCAAGGCTCTGGAAACTGAATTCGAGCGAGGCAAATACTTGTCCGTGGCCAAGAGGACGGCGCTGGCCAAGCAGCTGCAGCTCACAGAGACACAGGTGGGAATTACAATACATTCAAATTAATATTTAAATTTTATAAAAATTCCTCCGTTTTCTGTTTAGATAAAAATCTGGTTCCAAAATCGCCGCACCAAGTGGAAACGCAAGTACACCTCGGATGTGGAGACTCTAGCCTCGCACTACTACGCCCAGCTGGGCATTGGCGGATTGGCCCGACCAATGGTGGTTGGCGACAGGCTGTGGCTCTTCAGCCAGACACCCACGGGTCCCACGCCTATTCAGTCCATCATGCTAAATGGCAGCGGATCGGCGGCACCCCTAGCTGCAGCTTCGGCCACTGCATCTCCCATGCGACCATATGCCACGCCTGGCGGAATGCCTCCACTTCCCGGGCCCAGTGTCATGGAGAGTGCTCGCAATGCTATATTGGCACGAGGACAGCCGCTCAACTTTGCCCTGCCCTTTGGAGTGGCCAAGCCACCGGTGGCAGCGGGTGGTGTGCCATCCTCCGCTAGTTATATACCACGCTGCAAGTCGTATGCGGGAAGCTATGTGGATTATGCACCGCCACATCCACAGAACGAGGCGTATCTGCAGCTGAAGTACGCCACTCTGCCGCCGGAAACGGAAACCGGGTCCACCAATGGCTTGGCCGAGCTGGAGCGGGTATTCGGGGATGCCAATGCCAACTTTCTGCAAAATAGGAGCACTCCCGCCAGTGGCGTAGCCACATCCTACGGTCACGATGGATTAAACCAAGCCCAGCGCAGCCGAAGACCCACGCAATCCGAATCGGAGTGCAGCGACATCGACTGCGAGCAGCTGGACGAAGATGAAGAGGCGCCTGCAGCAGAGTGAAACTACAAAGTAGAGGCGTCTTGTTATCTTTAGAATTTATGTTCTCACACACAAAAATATGCTCATACAAAGGGTATTCATCATAGGGGGTAATGTTGTGTCTCGTCTGTGTAGATTCCATTACAACTAGCTGAGAGTGGCACACATTTTCAGACCTGGCCAACGCGACGTGCCGCTGGCCTAGTTCTAGTTACAGTTCTAGCGCTAGTTATTGCTATTCTATGTTACATTGTGGGTCGGTTATGGGTTACTCTCTCTCAACAATTAATAAATGTAAATTAAATAATCACAAATCACAAATATTACACGCCCGTTACGCAGCTAGAACTCGAGTTGATTTAACTTAAATGCTATGAGCTACACGCGGAATACTATAACTTAAACGTGGCTACAACTATTTGCAACTCAACACGTTAGGCTGAGGGAAAGAAGCGAACGACACTGACTTATGTACAATTCATTGCCTTGAATTAACTATACTATACATAGTGGAGACTCATTTGATTTGATTTTGTTACGGCCACAGCTGGTCGTTAAAGGAGATTCCATAGTTACAACTTAGCTAATTGGTCAAACAAAAATAAAATAATTAATAGGACTATTATTTGGTATAGCGAGCACACTGGGCTAGCTGTGTGTGTGTGTTGTTTACTGTTTGGAGTTGAAGGTGGAGTTGCAGTTGGAGTTGGCGGATTTCTGTCTCTTTTTAGCGTCGTTAGCTCCACGATAGCTCGTAGCCCTTCCAGTTGGCATTGGGTGCCAGATGCACGCGTCGTTTATTGTAGTAGAAGGAAACGATGCCATGGTAGGCAGTCCGGGGAACGCCGCTCTAAAAGGATTTATAAAGTAAAGTAAATCCAAAGGGAAGAAATACCCATAGACTCACCTTGAAATCATCCATTAGCCCCAGCATCTTGGTTGTTCGTTTGTACTGCTCTCTTGTGGTATACTGGATGCGCACAGGTCCTTCAATTCTTTAGAAAAAAATAAGAAATAACAGCCACAAAAGGGTTAACTTTCACAAAGAGCAAACGTGACATTTCCAAAAACCTTGTAAGCTTGGAAAATGTAAAAAATCCACTCACCTTATCAGGTTGCGACGCAACTCATCGTACGTGACAATGGGATACGTGTAGACGCGCCGCAAAAACGTATTATCGTAATTGTCCTGAAAAAAATCAAACGCAAAATTGTAATTATTGTGGACATGCAATGACTGCTCACTTGATTTACTTACCTTTAGCAAATAGCTTGTATTTATTTTTGTAAACTGCACAAAATCCTCGCTGAGTTTAATGTGCTTTAAATACTTATCAAAGAACAAGCCGCTGATAAAAGAAAAACAAAAATAGTGAGCCATTAGAAAACATATGGAGCTGCGTAATAGTGCTCGCTATCGCTTACTTGGATACGCCTATTTTTCCAAATGTTCGAGTTCGCGATATTTCGGGCCTAATGCACACGCGATCTTTCCGCTGGGCCGGATGACGTATCCAATCATCCCAGAAGCTACAACGTTTAACAAGCAATTAGCAAACGGTTGACAAAACTGTAGATAAGTATGTACTCACGATTTAGGCCATTTGACGGATAGCTCGGCCCACAGGTCTCTGGTGAGCATCCAGCCGAGACCGGGGAAGAAGTCGGTGCGGTAGAGCAGCTCTGGCTGCGAGGCATCCACCACGGCAGCCTTGCCATTGTCATTCCAGGCGGATACACACCACAGACTGGGGTCCTGCTTGAGCAGCTTGTGAGTGCCCAGGAAGTACTCAAAAAAGTCCGGCGCCACATTCAGATCATCCTCCACGATGATCACGAACTCGAAGCCCACGCCAAAGGTGGTGTTCAGGGCCCAGCCATAGTGTCGCGCTATCTTGTAGTAGCCCTTGAACTTCTTCTCCTTGGGCAGCACCTTGATGTCAGTCAGGTCGGGCTGCTCGATGAGGGTTACCTTGTTGCCGTACGACAGGATCACCTCCTTGGTGGGCTCATCCCCGCAATCCTAAGCAAAGCCAAAAAATATATACCACTTTTTTAAAAGATTAATCAAGTCCTACATACCTGAGACACTATAATGGGAAACTGTTCGATGCTGGGCCGGTACTGGACCAGATTGTCGATGCACTTCTTCACCGACACCCGGTTGCAGGCGAAGACCAGGACGGGGAAGACGGGCTCGCCATTGGCCAGATATGTTTTCGTTGGAATGCGCGCCGGTGTCGGCTTGGCCACCAGCTGCTCCGGCAGCTCGCCGGATATCTCGGCGGCCACAATACTAATCTGCGGCGTGGTCGGTGGTGGAAGCGGTACCTGTGACTCCAGGTACTTGAGCTTCACAAACTCGAAGACGCTCTTGGCCAGGTGGTGACTCTTCTGGTTCGCCTCGCGGGCCTGAGTGTTGACGCGGTATGCCTGGTGTGCCTGGTTGCGGCTATTGTGAACGCTCGTGTTGCGCAGCAGTAGGTAGTATGTGGCATAGGTCCACGTAACCAGAAAGCCGATCACCAGCAGCACCTTGCGCGAGCGCATCTTCGGGGGCTTGGACTAGGGCTTGGGGTCGTGGCTGGGGCTGGGGTATTGGTGGGGTGGCGGCGTCGGCAGCAATGCGTCTTTACTGCTGCGGCTACTGCTGCTGTGGCACTGGCATTAAGCCGGCTAATCGGTGGGATTGGAAGCCCTCTCGCGCTGCTCTCTCTACTGTCGCGAACGCAGAGCACCCGAGTCGAGCGCCCGTGTCCAAAGAGCGTGTCCACCATCGGGCACGGGCCCAGCTGGAGTTGTCGGCATCCACGCAATATTGTCACAGCCGCGGGTCGAAAGTCGCACGTCACACACCAGCGCTCAGCTCTGGGAGAGCGCCAGCCTGGCAGAATCTGGGCTCTGGATAGCGGATATTGTGCCAAATCGAATTGCGGATTAGCCTCACGTTGCCTGCTCCGCTGGAAGACTGTCTGATTTCTGCGCCCGTCCACTGCTCCTGGGTTTGGGGGTGTTTGTGGTCGCTTGTTTGTTCGCCTGGCCGTCAGTGGGCAGCTTGTTTAACTGCTATTGGTTACGTGTTTGTTCGTAATTTGTTTGCATATTTTAAAAAATAAACCATATAAAGTGCAGTGTGACCGCAAAGCCACCTTTAATATATACCACAAGCAGGAAATAATATCGATTATGCTATCGATTGTATCCACTAACAATCGTTTTTCGCTCCGCTCTAGCTCTTTTGAACCGGAATGAACTAGTTCACAAAATTCAAAAAATATTTAACGGAAAACGAGTGAGATATGGGATTTGTGAGGGATCTGGCCGGTATAAAAAAGAGAATTGAATGGCTTAAAGCAGTTTTCAGCGGGATATGAGAGAGAAAAGGGATTTACGCAGGCTTTGAGTTGAATTTGGGCAAGATCTTAATCTTCTTTCTTGGGAGCACTAAAGCAGTCTCTCCCTTATGGGTTCCCATACACATACACAGCTTCCTCGATGAGCCACAGATTTATATAGATATCAAACAACTATAAAATCCTTTCAATCAGAGCTCTGTTTAATCAATTAATTCGTTTAGTTTAGTCGTTAATTAAATTAGCTTAACAGTTACACTTAGGAGACTAGTAGGTGCTTATGAGTTAGACCGAGTTCATCAAGTTCTCCAGATATTTATATATATATATATATATAGTATGTAAGAGTTTTGTGTATTTTTATAAGAATCACTGTTGTCTGTTGTCTGTTTTGTGTCGCAATGCCGCCACGTCGCCTGCCATAAGTCGTAGAAAACTTAAGCTACGCATACGTTTAAAGTTAATTACGTTTTGTAAATGGCAGTTACATCAAGTATAGGTATATATTAGTAGTTAGGTAGTACATTAATATTCCCTCCTTCGTTCATTGCCACTGCACGCAATTCCGACCTGATTAGCATTCCTCGCACTCGCACGCCTTTCACACCTTGAGAGATTTACAACTTCTGCATCAGCCGCCAACTAAGGACAGCACCGAGCAGCGTCCAGAGGGCCAACGTAAGACCATTCCATGCCGATCCCGATGCCGAGCTGAGGTGTCCCAGCTCCCGTTCGTCCACCACAAAGGCGGGCTGAGCACTGGCAGGCGTCTGCTCCTCCGCGAAATTGCCGCGACTATTTCTGGCAAGACGCTGGTTGGCCAGCTTCAATTCTCGCAGTTTCTCCTCCAGCTGCAGGACCTCATCTAAGGAAGGGTAAAGAATGAAAGGTAATTAATTTATTTGTAAACTTTGCACATATTTCAAAATTTAATTTAATTTATTAGAACCATATGTTTATTTTTCTCACATAAAGCAAGTAATTTCTCTTGCTAATATATTTTCCCTGAAGCCCTCTAAGCCCTCTTTAAAAGTGTAATAAACGTATAAACATGGCTAAATAATTAAAAACTATTTGTAGACTTTATGGCTTATGTAAAATAACCATCGACTTTTTATCACCTCCATTCTTAGGTGTGAGTTTACTTGAATAGAAGATAGTAAAGCCATATTACAGGTATAGTAATTGAGATTTTTTTATGATTATATGGCTTTGAAGCTTATGGAAAGACCACACATTATTTTCTATACTTTTTCTTAAATTTACAATAATTTTTATAACACGAAAACTTACTTTTATTGACTCCTTCAATATCCTCCACCTGCAGGAACATGGCCAGCGATATTTCGTAGACCTTGTTCGCCGCACTGATCTCTCGCTTACGCCTGCCGAAGCCCACCTGGTTGTTGGAGCACTGAGTGCCTAGGCACTTGTCCAAGCACACGTTGACCGTGGCCCGGAATTGAACGTACGATGAGTCGGGGAACTTGAAGGCCTTAAACTTGGCACTTAAAATATCCCCGTCGATGGTGTTGAAGTTTTCGAAGAGATATGGATCCACAGTGCAGCTGCATGGGGGTTACAAAAGAAAATAAAAGTGAGTTAACTCGTATTGAAAATTTAAAAAAAATTTCTACCCCTTGAAGATAAGCGTTTCCGAGGACGTATGCGTATCCGTCACATCCAGATAGTTCACACCCAGGCCATAAACTGGTGCAGAGTCCTCATCAAGGTTGATTTCCATGGTCAACGGGGTGCCCTTTAATAATAAAAAAATGTATTTGTATACAAATTATAAAACTAGATCCTATAAAAATGCCATAACTTTTATGGTTATTACAAGATTAACATGCTTTTTTTGGATTTTAATGACTTCTTAAACTACCATTTAAATTTAACATAACTATAAACATCTGCTTGCTTAATTTTTAATTTATTTTTTCTATAATTCGTCGTAACTCACCGATTTGACTGTCAAATCCCTGGTGAACTTCTGTCCGTCCTGGCTAACGCCAATGGAAAGTCGCGGCTCTGGGGCTCTCTTGGTCAGCGACGTGGTGATCTCCAGATCCCTGCAAGAATATCAAATCAAGTGGTTCAGTACCGCCTAGCCAGGCAATTCCAGCTCTTAATGATCGGTGGTGGTGGGGAAGGACCCGGCCGAAGGTAGTAAATCATCGCCGGGCATTGAAAAACAAACATTATATTCGATCAGGGGCGGCAGGGGAGGAGCTGGCGGAGACCAGACGGACCCCGACACGCCCCGCAATTAAATTGACTGTGGAGGTATTAACGCATATGAAGCCGCCGGCGTCGATTTGGCGGCTAATTACCTCCTGGTAATGGCAACTCTTGGAAGAGCCCCCAGAGAAAGGGAGAGAAATACAGAGCGGCGGAAGTACCCCAGAGAGAGAGAGAGAGAGAGAGAGAGAGAGAGAGCGGGGGAGTAGGAGGCAATAGGCTGGGATAGGTTTGATTTATGGCCCTCGGTTTGATCTTGGCTAGAAACAGGGCTGGATGCGGCATTTAATATGCCATAAACTTTTGCATAGATTGCCCATAAAAATGTGCATAGATGCAGTTTGCCTTTATGGGCAATTAAAAACGGGGAGACAGCACCAGATCCGGAGAGCGTGTGCCCGCTGGGGGAGACTTACTCGGGTTCCTGGAAACCCGCCGGCAGCACATCCCGCTTGACCAGGCCACGGCCACCGCTGGACATCGAGCTGGAGCTGGTGGTGGTCGCATTCATCATGACGTTATAGGCGGGACTGCTGCTGGTGATGCATTTGACGCTGACAATCTCCTTGCTGTTGGCCGACTCGATGATGATCTTGTGGTAGTACACCTTCTTGCCCTGGAAGCCCGCAAGATGAAGAGAAATTACAGGACTCGTTCACCACCTGGGTGATCTCTTGTGCTTACCGTTAGCTGGTTAACCATTCTCGTCACTCCGCATTCGTAAAAGTCACTCAACGACAGCCGGAATACGGCTAGCGAGCCATCAATCTGGGGTTGGCAACGCACATCCGGATATCCTTTAAGTCCCTCGAGATATATCTGCGGGGCACTCTGGTCCTTGGAGTCCGCCGCCTCTGGCAGACCGATGTCCACTCTCATTTGATCCTCCGCGCAGTGCACTTTGTGGGAGCCTAAAAGCAAAGAGGGAAGAGAGGAAAGATACTGGATAAATGGGGCTGCCGCTTCCACATTCTTCTTCGTGTATAGTAAAAAGTGGGCTAGCATGTCGTTCAGTGATCGCAGCTGGACTGGATTCTGAACTGGCTAGCCGGGGCCACGCCCCCTATCATCATCATCATCATCATCGGCATCATCGTCATCATCAGACGTTGACGAGATGGAGTTGAGCCGAGCAGCAAACACTAAACAATTGCCAAACATAATTGCCATGTGTTGAGCAGCGAGTTTGTGGCCTAAGTCTTTTGTTTTCCTTCCATCATTACACTCGAACAAATGACTAATCAGCCGAGAAAAGTATACTAACGATAACAGAGATCACATTGGGCTCAAGTCTGTAATTTAATATAATTACACAATGCTCTTAAACTGATGAAGGCACTCTCTTAACACACATCTCGTTAATCTTTGTTGTTTTCCCCAGTTAGCTCCAAAGATATTCCTTTAATATTTCACATTACATTTGTCTAAGTGCATCGCTTGGCGTTGTCTTTTTTTTATCGAGGTGGCTTAATAAACCCGCAGGGCTACTTTCTGGGGCCCGGTGGAAAGCAAAAACCTGGCATTAGCCAAAGGCACACTCAGCACACAGCTTTGGTTTAGTTTTACTTGTGCGAAGCTGTCGTCGTCCATGGGTCTCGGCTTTGGCATAATTTTAGCTCGGTCCGGGCAATCAAAATCTTATTACCGTCGAACATGTGTAGGATGCCACAAAATTATCGGCTTAAATGCTTTGCCGACGAGGCCATTAGTTGGCCAGGATTTGGAGCAGAAGGCTGGGACAGACCAACCATTCCTCCTGGTGGTGCCACCATTGCAGATGGCAAAACTAATTTAAATAATTGACTCTAACTACTTAATCTCGTACTAATGGCCATGGCAAATTTCGCAATTTCTGGGCGGAATTCGCGTCCCGCGTACACCGGAAAATGCTCTCATCGGTAATGCGAGCTGTGGACATGCAATAACTTGCTTTAATTAGCCATTCGCGAGAGTGAAATCCAAGCCGAACAACAATGAGATCGGGCATTAAACGCGGAAAAACACTACCCGGTGAGGCAATTAAAACTGCGAAGGCGATGCAATTGCAATGGCTGTGGTTGTTCTCCCACAAAATCCCAGCACAGTCTATGGGACTGTGGACAAAAGCTGTGTAATCTGAGCAACAGCAGCAGCTTCAAGGTGGGCGTAATGCAAGTGGCGCCCGAGCAAATTAAAATAAGAGACGGTTTAGCCCACGAGTTGTGCCAAGACTTCCGCGAGAGCGGGAAGGAGAACCCTAGTTAATAAAGCAAATACAAAGGTAAGGGCATTAAGGCCGCATTAAGGATGCCGGAGATGAGGTGTTGAAATAGCCTGATGGACTCTCCAAATTAGGGACGGACAAGGGTCTATTTATTGCCTGCAAGCGGATGGAATACGATGGAAATGGGAATGTGAATGAAGTTGATTAGGGCTGGACTCTAGCATATTTCTTGTGTATTTAAGGGGCAGAGTCTAAGTAAAATATATACTTAAAATTTCTTCAAATAAAGAATTATTTTAATCATAACTTCAATATTTTTTTAAACCTTTATTCTTATAAATTTCCTTATTTAAAATACACCCTAACTCAAATACCCTAACATTCCTAAAGAGGAACGCCCACAGAAGGATGACCACCGGGGCGGGGACCCTGGAGCAAAAAGCTGGACAGACCCAAGCCCCAGACCCAGAGCCAAAGTCTTGTCCAATAAAGTTGTTGTACCGAATGTTGGCCGGTGGGCGAGACTGCAGACGGCTTGAAATAATTGAATTTCCAAATGGTTTGGCCCTTGCTTTGGCTTTTCTGCAACTTCTTTTATTGAATTTTTATTGCCGGCCGCTGATTACAATTTATTTGACACCATTTTTATGGGGCAAGCCAACTCGTGAGAACCCTAAACCGCTCCGAGACAAAGTGCAATGACGCCGAGCTTCGAGACGAGGCGAGACTTAACCCACATTCGGATGGAATCTAATGCTCGTCGGATCAGAGGAACTGTTCTTGGAATCGGATCGAGTGGCCGAGTGGGAGTCCGGATGGCAGAGGAGGCATTAGCATTTAACCTGCGAACATGACAAATCAGCAAAACGTGCCACATGAGCATGCCCTGCCGCCTGGTCGCAATCATGTTTGCGGCTTGTTGCCGCAACCGCGGAGCGCGGAGCATAAATTTCCATTAACAATAAATTTAAAAGAAATAACATTACAGCCGAAAATGACCCGTAGCGAAGTTCCATGGAAACCCGGCGTCGTCGCGGTAGATTCGGGGAGTCATCAACAGGGGCAAACATGCTGCTGAGACAGCCTGGTAAGCACCACCAACTCTGCCAGGAGGTTCTTCTTCTCTCTCTCCCATTCCTATCGCAATCAGCAGCCACGACAATGTTTCTGGCCCGGCTCTCCTTCAAACAATTTGGCAACAAATGCGCGCGCACAATCAAATGAATGCACAAATCAATAAGACAACAACTGCAGCCCACAATTGCAGCGTGCAAAATCGTTTACAAGCCACGCCAAGTCAAGTCAAGTCGCCTCTAACTCCGTCTCTAACTCCCAGCTCCAGGACAACGATGAGGAGGCGCAGCTTAGGCCGAAATAACCAAATCATTGCCATGCAAATGGCATCGTTTTGTGGCCGCAGTCATCGCCAGCTATCCGGCAGTTCCCCAACAGCCCCTCTGACTTTCCTCTGGAGAAGAGTAGTCGTGAAAGGTGGGAAAGACATCTCCTCCTCCACCACTTGAGCAGAGTTTACTCTGTCCCCACTCCGCAGTCAGCTGGTGTGCACAGAAAGAAAATATGTGAAATGGAAAGCGATCTCTAGAGAAGTTTTCTAAAGAACTCATGTAAAAACAACCTGGTACACGCGTTTTCTAATACAAAAAAAGAAGGAGAATAATACTAATAATTTATCTTAAACTCTCCTAAAATATTGCCTCTAAAACCAGTAAAGTTAATCAAATTAGAGTAAAGTTTCTTCAAGTCTTAAATCTAGTCTAAGTAGAAAAATGAATTTCCCAGGGGAAAATGGTAACCCAGAAATGGTGATTGATAGATCCATAAACTCCACAAGATAGATACTAATTTGTGCAATATATATTTGCTGGGTTTCGCCTAGTGTAGCCTTGGGCTACAGGCGATGTTGCAACAATTGTTTCATGGCCGTGCCCACCGCGGATCTTGAGGTTGTGTCTGGGATTGCAAGTGCAACTGAAATTGCAATCGCAATCGCAATTGCCATGGCCATGGCCACGGCTAGATTATGCAATTGTCTGACTCAGTGTCTCCGCTGTCTGTCTTCCTCCCTCTCTCTCTCTCTATTTGCCTGTGTCACTGTTCCCGGGTCTGCCTCCATCTCTCAGTCCCAGTCCCAGTCCCTGTGTGGGATTCCAGTCACGTTTCTGGCTGCTGGTGGCGGATCGGTACGGTGGATCTGGGCGATCGGCAAACTGTTTTCGGTACTCTTCGCGGAGAAGTGTTAAGCCTGGAGGCGTCTCTGGCCACTCAACGGTAAACGCAGGCGGCAGGGGATGCTTCCCCACCATTCACGAGGAGGAATTAAACAGGCGATTTGTCAGGTGGAGGAGAGAAGTAGGAGTAGGAGTAGGTGCCATTTGTGACTTTCACATTTATGACAAGCCTTCAGCTGTGATAGCGCATTCTGGGCCCCACCACAAACATACCCACTCGTACACCCGCCTGCTATCGCCGAGATTATGCCCGGCCTGGGCCACTAACTTGACACACACGACGCACGATTATCATCAATCTTCTGGCGGAGCCACAGGAAATACTGGTAATTTTCCCGGTTCTCCCCCCGTAACTGGCCTCATCATCCTTTTCAATGACCAATTACACTTAACGGCCATGCATACAAAATAAATTAGAAAACCTCAACTGCAGCTGGGCAATGGGTTTGGTTATCGGTGGAGCGGGAGTGCAGGTCAGCGCCAGTCGCCTTCCAAGTGGGAGTTGTCCGCTCCTAATGGCTCCCCCAATATGCTAAGCAGTGTCAATGTGTCAATGTTGCCGCGTAAATCCATCAAAATGCGACGGGAACTCAATAAAGAAACTTGTTTAGCAGCTGAAGCTGAAGGAGGAGGGTTTGGAGGGGGAGTTGGTTGCCAGTGGGGGTCGACATGGGGCTACAAATGTGATAATTGCACAACATTTAGTTGTTGTGCTCAAGATCCTCTACAAGTCTAGGCGTTTTTCCTCTCTCTTCTGGGAAACCATCTTAAAACACCAAGAGAAATTACTGTTGTCTAAAATAATATTCTTCCTTGGTTATAAGATTGTAAGCAACACATCTCATTAGGAAAGAGTAATATATATTATATCATTCTGATTTTTAGCCATGCTCTCTTTTAAATCATCTGTGAAAATTCTTAAAACCCTTCCTGTGTAGTGTTCGTGTTCGTGTTGCTCCTGTGTATACAGTGGCTGTCAGTTGTATGCGACGACCGGCGCAAATGGCCATCCGTTCCATCTCTCAAACGCTCTGTCAGTGGTGTCGTCTGCTTCTGCGCCTCCATCATTATCGGCCAACAACTTTTTGTTGGTTAATTGTTTCCAATGACGCAATTGCTGGTTGCCATTTATAGAACTTGGTCTTGGATTCCGTCAGCTGATTGCGTCAGTGGTTGGCCAAGAGCCGGCATCCAGCTTGGCTTGCCACCTCTACCTGCAAGGGGAAGACTCATCAGTCGCCGGATACTGGCGGTTCAATCAATAGCCACACACATTAAGGCCAAATATCAAACCAATGAGTTGCGGTTCCCAGCTACCAAATGACCGCTTAAATTAGCGGCCAAATCGATTAGGCGGGGGCACAAAACTTGGCTGATAACTGGCCGCGCTTTTGGCCATATTTAAAACATGAGATGCAGAAGCAATCCTGCTACTGCGCCTGCTCCATCACCTGGGAAC